TTTACTTCGAAATTCTGGAAATCATTGATGGCGCTACTGGGAACAAATCATAAGCTATCAACAGCTTTTCATCCCCAGACAGATGGCCAAACAGAAAGATTAAATCAGACCCTTGAACAGTACCTGCGAAGCTATGTCAATCATCAACAGGATAACTGGGTTCAGATCTTACCCATCGCACAGTTTGCATATAACAGCGCGATGACAGAAGCAACGAAAGTCTCACCGTTCTTTGCCAATTATGGCTACCAGCCAGAAGCATATAGGCAACCAAGACCGGATGAATCACGAGCTGAACAAGCCCTGATCGTGGTGGAACAACTGAAATCGTTCCACGAACAACTTGCGACGGACATCCAATTCTTAAATGAACGATCCGCCGCATACGCAAACAAGAAGCGCAGTATGGAACCTGCCTTCAAGGAGGGGGATAAAGTATACCTACTCCGGAAACATATCAAAACGAAACGACCAAGCACAAAGTTGGACTTCAAGAAATTAGGACCATTCAAAATATTGAACAAAGTCAGCTCAGTTAATTACAGACTGCAGCTACCCAGGAAGTCTAGACTACACCCGGTATTTCATGTCTCACTACTGGAACCAGCAAGAGGAAATACCCCAATTGCGACCGACACCGAACTCCAACCCGAGAATGAGATAATCGAATATGAGGTCGAAGCGATCCTAGACAGAAGGTTAGTAGGACGTCGAGAAGAGTTTTTGATAAAATGGGAAAATTACGAACCTACGGATAATTCGTGGGAACCAACAAGGAACATCAGCAAAGAACTGCTGGAGGAATATCGACGCCGCCATCCGCCAGCCATTGATCCCAAGATGCAGGGGAGTAGGCCAGTGGATCGGAGGAAGAGGGGGTCCCGGTCACAGACGAGGAGGCAGCGCTAACTGCCTGTTCCTCGGCCTCAACAGCATCACGCTTCTCAGCAGCCACACGTTCGGCCTCCTCTGCCGCATCAAGCTCGTCGAGGGTTTTCAAACCTCGTCGGAGCATATCTTTACCACGGGTTCGGATGAGGCGTTTCTGCTTCCGCAGACGAAGTAACTTCGAAAGGGTTTCTTCCTCTTCGCGATCCAGGCGATCCTCCTCCCGTTCGAGCTTCACCCAGTCGGGATGCTCAGGACCCATACAGTCACACTTTTCTTTCAAGTTGCGACGAACGCACTCGGCGCACCGCCGTGAATCATTTGGAGACGACACGCAAGTAATGTTTCGCCTCACGCAGTTCGAGCAAGAATCCATTTCGGGTAGTTCGTATCCGTGGTTCTTTATTCGACGGACAAGATCATTGCGTTCCTGGAGTTTGCGGGCAGTGTCAGTAGGCATGTTGCATGTTGAAGGACTCGCTGAGGAGCAGCAGAGTCCCGGGGACATGGACGTACTTATAGGATTCGAGACGAATGCCCAGGGGAAGGGAGCGAGTGTTACGACGGAACAAGAAGGCTGGCCAACTACAGGACAGGAAGGAGGGAGGTCGCATGAGACCGGCCCTGGTACCTGGAGGGGCAGCGGGGAATAGTAGTTCCGAAAGTATCACGTGACGGACTTGCAGGATGATGAGAAGAGTCCTAAGAGTCCAGGACTCCGAGGACTCGAGTGAGTTCCCAGGAGTCCACTAGGCACGTGATGGACTCGCAGGATGATGAGAAGAGTCCTAAGAGTCCAGGACTCTGAGGACTCGAGTGAGTTCGCAAGAGTCCACTAGGCACGACGCCACTATATAAGTAGATAGTATTTCCTTAGATAGGAGCTTCGTGCTCAACTCAATACAGTATTTGTTATATACTAGTAACGTGTTACTTGAAGCCTTTGTGTCTGATCCCCTGCCTCCTCTGATAAGTAAACCTTTACGCAAGAGAACCTCTGTGTCTTCTATCGTTCAGAAGTCAGCGTTACACCAGAGCTATCCATAAACTTGTTCTCGGCGACCAGAGTTCGAAAGAAGGGCTATTATATCGATGGCCTTTCGCAGACTCTCAAAAATGAGAGGAACGGCGCAGTATTATGTGCCTTTACAACGACCGATTCTCAAATGAGAATACGGACCGAAAAAATGACCCAATGAGCCTTTGCCGCTAGCCTTAGAACTCCACAATCGATGGAGCTATGGCATCGGCGATTAGGGCATCTTGGAGTTGAAAATATCGTTCGCACAGCAGATGCGACGACGGGAATCGCTCTTCAAAACCCCCATGAGGATCATTCGGCTAGATCCACAACTAAAGACCAGGAAAAGGGGCTTTGCTGCTCATGTGTCATGGCCAAATCGCTCAAGACCCAGTCTAAAAAGCCACAAGCTCGAGCAGAACATCCTTTCGATCGGATACATATCGATGTGATCGGCCCAATCACTCCACGCAGCATCGATGGTTCCCAATGGGGCATTATCAAAACCGACGATTGCACTAGAGCTCGATGGGCAAGACCGCTCCAGAAAAAAGTCGATGCCCATATAGCGATCGTTGAATTCTGCGAACTCATAAATACCCAATATGGGCAATATCCAAAGGCCTTACGTCTCGATAATGGCCGGGAATATGGTGGAGGAGCCCTCATAGCGTACTGCGCAAAAAAGGGGGTCACGATTGAATACACAGTCCCATACACCCCTGAGCAAGACGGAGTCTCTGAACGATCAAACAGGACCATCATCGATAAAACTAGGACGATTATCACAGAAATAATTGCCCTAAAGGCTTCTCTTAACATTGCCGAGATCAACGATGATAAATTAAAGGCCTTATGGCCAGAGATTATGAGAACGGCTGTGTACATCACTAACAGAACTGCTACTCGGGGCACTAGAATCACCCCTTTTGAAGCCATGAGCGCATTTAAAGGGCAGCCTACAAAGCCAGATATGGCCCATCTACGAGTTATTGGAAGCAAGGCATATTATCACTTGCACAAAGAAAAAAGGACCAGGAGCGCCAAGTTTAGCGCCAGAGCTCGCATGGGAATACTCATCGGATACGAAGGCAATTCCATTTATAGGATCTACGACCTAGAAAAAGGAATCATTCGATCATCTGCTGTGGTCTTCGAAGAAGTTGGAACACTAGCAGATGACACCAGAATCACCATCGAAACGATTGATGCTGATCTAGCCGATACTCTTATATTTGAGAAAAAAGATGAGCCTCCCACATCAGGGGCGACTCCTAGCGATGACGATGCGGAGACCCAAGCTCCTAGTAATGATAATTCCAGGAGTCAAACCCCTGAAGCCCTTGACGAAGAGCTTCATCGACAACTCCATGGACTAATAACGCCCGCGACAAATGCCCAACAAGGGGCAGACGAAACTGTCAATCGACGCCCAGAGCGTATTCGACAGCCGCCGAAGCTCCAAGGCAAAGGAAGCCTTGAAAGAAATTATCAGAGCCACTGGGCTCTCGATCAACGGCATTGGGCATTCCTCTGCGAAAGCGTATCAGCTTTCAATGCTCATATATCGCCTCGAAAAATCCTGGAACCAACGACCTACAAGCAGGCGATGGCAAGCCCAGAAAGCCATGACTGGCGAATAGCCATGGCTGTCGAATATGACGCCCTCATTGCTAACGATACATGCGACGAATTGGAGCCTCCTGAAGGCACTCATATTATTAAGGGGCGATGGGTCTTTGCCATCAAATGGGTATGTGGAATCGTGGAGCGATTCAAAGCTCGCTGGGTAGCCAAAGGCTTCGAGCAATTAAAAGGGGTCGACTACGATCAAACCTTTGCCTCAGTAGCTAAAAGCACAGCGATCCGGATCCTGATGGCACTCGCAGCATATTATGATTGGGATATTGAGCAAATGGACGCAGTCACAGCGTTCCTGAACAGTCACCTCAAAGAAACTGTTTGGATCCAAATGCCAGTTGGATATGAGAATGGCTCCTGTGCCTGCCGCCTCAAAAAGGGACTCTACGGTTTAAAACAGGCCGCGAGACTATGGGCTAGAAACGTTAGGAAGCTGCTCTTAGAGCTTGGGTATTACCCATTGCCAGAAGATGACTGCATATATCGGCATCCAAAAAAGGGGGTATTCGTCGCCACCCACGTCGACGATTTTCTCATAATGGGACCTGACAGCAATGCGATTCAAGAGCTAAAGGATCAATTATCTAGCCGCTTCACAATGAAGGATTTAGGCCCAGCGCTACCACCGTAAGAAGGTTGGACGCCGGTGAAGATGAGGTTGAAGATTAGGACGAAGAAGGCGTAGAGGTTCTAGGGGGGGTGTTAGTTGGGGTGCGAATGTGTAGATGGGGAGAAAGGGGGGGGGTGGGGGGTGGTGGGGGGAAAAGGGGGGGGGTACGAAGAAGGCGCGGAAGAAGAAGAGGGCCCAGGGCGTGATGAGCCAGGACGTCTCGAAGCGGTGGGAGGAGTCGAAGAGGTCGGGGCTGAAGGAGAAGATGCGCCGGAGAGCGGACATGTTGGGTGGTAGGTATGATCGTGCTAAGGATGTGGATGTGGATGTGGATGTGGATGTGGATGTGGATGTGGATGTGGATGTGGATGTGGGTTATGAGTATTCGCTCGAACGGAGGTGTATCGGAATCTGTTGAGGAAGGATCATAAAGAATAGTTTTTTACTCGGAATCAGCCACTTATGTGCACTTATATGCACTTACACATGCACTTATATGCAAGTTACTTAAATGCCTCGATCAAAGAAAAATACCCATCTACCCCATCTGGTCACTCTTATTACTCCTCCCTACCTTATCGTCGTCGTCGTCGCCGTCGTCGCCGTCGTCGTCCTTCCATGTTGCGACGTCGTCGTTATTAACACCGCCAAGTTTACCCCGTAACATCGTCTCCTTTGGTCGGATCGGATTCAGGGGAAACAAACTCAAACTTCTCAATCCAGAACTTACCCATAAGCTACGAAAGTAGTGCGCTCGCAATCCGCCAATCAACTACTACTACTACTACTATTAGCCGACCATATTCTCGGCCTTGAGCTGCAAAACCTACGCGCCCAACGTCCACAACGCAACGGCTAGGTCGGAAGGAACGACGACGACGACGACGACGACGACGACGGCGGCAGAGCAGAGATTGGGGAGCGAGAACGAACACAGGACTACACTACAGTACATTCGTACCTGTTAGAGTGTTAGAAGGGACACCTCCCTCCCTCCATCTCCCGCCAAACCTCAACCCCCCCCCCAGGAACGAATTCAAGCCGATAAACACCCCACGCGACAAACCCGCAGAACACAAACGCCCGACTGCAGCTCCCCGTGGCGCGCCAAGTCTTCCATGTAGTACCGCCCCAAGTTGCCAACCATGGCCACGCCCGCTGTCACGTCGCACGACTCGGCGGCGATCGACATCCAGCCGCTGGAGGCATCCTTCAGCATGTTCGATTCGAGACCTTCCCTCGACCTGTCATTCGGCGATTTCGCCATCAACAGACTCGATCCGCGCCTCAGCATGATGTCGTTCGGTGGGAGCTTGTCGGGGGATGACAGACGCAGTAGTGTTGGGTCGGCCCCCGACGAGCCGTCGGCGCAGGAGGATAATGTGCGCCATACTCTACTGTCGCTCGATGGGGACAATTTGCAGAATGATGGGAGGCGCCAGAGTTTGGCGTCTATACAAGAAGAACCTACACAATTCGATGAGAATGGCCGCAACCTTACGCCTATCCGTGAGGATCCAACCCCCAAGAAAGACAACAAACAAGATATTGCGCCAAGCGCCAGCTACCAACCACAGAAGGAATACGAACACCCCAGTGTTGTGTTCATCTATGAGCTTCCGGCGGAGAACTACGATCTGGATCCAACACCTGCGCCTACCCCTCCGCAGGAGCTTCCAGCACAGACCAACGAGTCGTCGAGGAACCTTAGGTCTGTGTATGATGCAGTCCAGGATGACAAGCGCCAAAGTGCTGCCTCTACCAACGAGAACGAGAGTCCGACCGAAGCCAATGGTAGGCGCATTAGCATTGTCTCACTTCATAAAGATTATGTCCCAAACGACGAAATACGCTTAAGCGTCATTTCAATCCATGAGGGTGATGACGAGCGCCCGGTGACCCAACCACGTGAAACTCAAGTCCCAAAACATCCAATTAGGTCAATGCAAGCAGCATTTGAGGAATCTATGCTCGATGCCTTTGACAACGACGATCCTCCTCTGAAGCCTCTCCTCGGCAACGTAGCCGAGAGACGGAGGGCATTGCTTGGCCAGGACATCTCTGCAGAGACCCACGCGGGGAAGTGGAAGCAGAAGCCGGGCCAGAGATATCATGAGCTATGGAAGATCATGTCTCAGATATCATTTGGCATCTACCTCTTACTAAACGGTCTAGCAAGGGACGACGAGCAAGCTCTTACTATTCTGCAAGGGCACGTGGATGAGGTTGATGGCTTTTTAGAGACGACTCTGGAGGATTTCGATCTCGCCCAGGAAGATATTGATGGGAGGCTGAAGAACCTCAAGTTGCCTCTGGAGAATATTAGCGTTTTTGAAGATATGATGGAGGACAGAGATTTCAGGAATCAGATCGTCTCGGGAAACGAGACTATTGAGCACATCATCATGCGGACAGCGGCAGCAATGAAAGATTCGCTTCGGAACGTCCAGCAAGGGATGGAAGCAACGAGAGAAGTGGCTGGGTATATGGCTCAGGAAAAGGCCCGCCATCAATGGCAAACAAAGCGTCCAGAAATGAGAGAGGTGTTTGATGCCATGAAGGGAAATGCCGATGGGTGGTACAAGGCATATGTGTCCTTGCAGACGAAGGGCAACAAACTTGGCGTAGCACTGGTGCAACTCGGATCAATCGCTGCAGAAATCGATAAGCGCGCTGGCGAGATTAGTCGAAATGCAAGAGTAAGTATCTTCTTGTCCCTCTCCCCTGAATATCCCTAACCATCCCATAGTTCAGCACCGCCATGTCACCGCGCCAATCGATTAAACCAGCACCCATCACATCCCTCCCCGACTCACCGCGCCACTCCTCACGCCCCTCACGCGCATCCCTCCGCTCGGGACCCTCAACAAGATCGCGCGCCTCCATGGCAAAAGAACTCCCCTCAAACCCCAGCTTGATCACCCCCGCCATCCGCGCCACCCTCCCCGCCTTCCAACTCGTCCAAGAGCGCGAAGAATCCCCAGAGCGCGACTCAAGCTCCGTCTCCGACCCCGAGCTCCAGGAGCCACAGTTCCTCACCCTCGAAGCAAGAACTTACACCCCACCACTCTTCACACCACCACCCCTCGCACCACGCGCCTACTCCAACGGCCCACCACCTGGCTCCCGACTCCCTACACCACCCGACGCCCAACAGCGCGTCGAATCCGCACCGCCTATCGCGCGCAAACCCTCCCTCCGCGAGCGACTCTCCCTAACGCGCAAAGCTGCGCCAGCACCTCTCCTCAATATCCCCCCCCACAACTCCACGCCTAGCCCGGCACACACTCCCGTCCTCCAGATCCGCCGTCCACCTTCTAACATGGATCTCCGCCGCCCTCCACCCCTGCACAGTGGCGCTACTCCCAACTCACCTCGCTCGCCCGCCAACCCCGCTGGTCTGGGTCTCGACTCAGCGTACTACTCCAACCGGAACCGCGTCTCCGTCGTCGGCACCCCAAGCCAGGAGTACCACCAATTCATCGCCTCCGCGCAGACACGCCACGACTACGGATCCACCTACGTCACGACCCCGCGCTCCGAACAGCAGCACTTCCACCCCGTGCAAGCCTCTCCGCACTCCCCCCTCCAACGTCCCTGGACCGCCGCACCAACCCAACGACTTCCTCCAGGCGGCAGTAGTGGGGTGACGTCCGCGCGGTATAACAGCTACGGCAGCAGTTATGGGAATAGTAATTACAGCGCGGGGGGAGGGAGGGAGAGCAGGATGAATGGGAGTGGGAGTGTGTACCCGAGTAATATGTCAAGGGTGACCCTGGCGAGCCAGGTGACGGTGGGGGTGGATGAGCAGGGGAAGAAGGTGAAGAAGAAACGCAGCGGGTTTGGGTGGTTGAAGAAGGCGTTTAGTTTGAGTGAGGAGGAGAAGAGGGAGTTTGAGGAGGCGAGGAGGGGAAGGGATGTTGTGGAGAAGGAGGGGAGGAGGGAGAGGATTTTCCTGGATGGGAAGAGGGTTAACCGTTAGTAAGGGGGGGATGAATGATCGAGGAGGTTGACGAATCATCACATCACACGCACATATTTGGAACCCAACCCCCCCCCCCCTTTTTTTTGTCGTCACACCAGCTTCTGCTTCTTTAGCACACCATCTATAGCGTCGGCGTTGCCCCCTTTTTTGCTTTTTTATCACGCTTTAATCAGCAGAGCTGTGTTAAGTTCTGTTTTTGTTTTGCTTTTCGTTTTCGCTTCGTGTACAACCTAGGGACTAAAAAAGGGAAAAGATGAGAGGGATGGGGATGGCTGGGTGCATTTGGCTTGAGCTAGGGAGGGGGGAGTTGCTTTTACATAATGAGGGGGGGTGGTAATATGATGACGATGATGAGGTTAATTCATTGCAGCAGTTCGTCTTTATTTTAGTTAGGTGAAGAAGTCCTGCTGTTGAGCTCCTAGCTCAGGGGTAATTTCGCTCGCTCCACGAAAAAGCAGAGACGCAAAGAGAACCTCCGACTATTCAACACAGTATTCCCATCTCCAACCCTTATTAACCTCGCCCCAACTCCTGGCATGAAAACAGCACCCTTGCACCTTAACTCCTGGCATGAAAATGGCACCCGAGCATCCCAACCAGCCCGACGAGGCACCTTCATCCCTCTTACAAAAAGCTCACTGGTACCAAGCCCATCCTTCACACCCAAATTGGCGGCATTCGTACGAAGAGAATGGGATATATGGGCAAACCAACCATCTCTACTGTGTATGAAGAAGAGCATAGAAACAGCATTACGTGCAGACAACGATAAGCACAGCTGGAAAGTTACTGTATCTCGCGATTTAGTTGACAATGGCTAGAGGAATCATCAAAATGTTAGCACGCGCAGCCTAGGCTTTCATTGCACTGTGCTAGGCGTCTCGACTCATTACAGTTGATGCTTGGGTTGATGCCCTTCACATTGCCATTGTAATGATGTACGGTTACGCTCGCGCTACATCCCACTAAGCCACAAAGACTACAGTATTCCGGCTCGCCCGGAATACGCATAACACGCTTTATATACCACATGTACTGTAACGGCGGCACCCGTTACAGCCATATCCTACCCCTTGGAAATCCTTTACAATTACCCGCCTATATATAGATGTACAATCCAACTTAATAACTGTTTTGCTCTCCTCTAAATCAAAGTATCAAATGAAGGCAGTGTTAATATTTGACTAATTTGATCAAGTGGCATCTAGCCTTCCTCAGTTTCTTCGATCGTAGATGGGATATCCGTGTTGAGCCGCCAGTCCCAGTCCGGTAGAGGCACAATCCTTCTTAAGAGACTTTAGTCTTTTAAGTCGGCTCTTCCTCTTTAATACGACCTGCTGCTCTAGAAGCAACCTGACCATCTTATGGTCACGTTCCTTCCGGGCTAGTAGTAGCGGCGTCGCGCCATAAGTTATATATCATCCATCGGCTCTAGATCGACTCCATTCCTAACTAGAAGCTTAATCATATCCCTAAGTCGTCGTTCTACTCCAAGATGGGTAAATGACCGAGAGGCCATTTCTAACCTTATGTAATGGTAATGGCGGTAGTTGGTGCGTAGTAGCATAGTGGCGAGTCAACCCACCCCTCGCTCGCAGCCCACCGAAGTAGCTTTACCGCTGTGCCCCTTTGTATAATAGCTAGGTCATTCTGGATCCATTGAAGGACTGGGTCGTGGAGACGAGATATAGATGTAGCTGTTTCTGCTTGAAGGAGCTGCACGAAGACTTTCTCATGCCGATTGTCTGCTGCTAATTCAACCGCTATGTTTCCTATTCTAGCACCGGAATCTCGACACAAATCGACTCCTTTGATCATGTGACCTGGCGCCGCTTTTGCTCAGGCTTCCTCCTGCCCGGCTCAGCTTCGGCTCAGGTGTGCTCAGGTGTGCTCAGGTGCGCTCTGGTATGCTAAGGTGCGCTCAAGTGTGCTCAGGCATGCTTTGTTTATGCACTGCAACGCACTGCAAAGTACGGGGTCGTCAACTTTTGACAATAAGCCAGAAAGGAGCCACATCCCGATCTGTTTTTGTAAGGAGGTACGGAGTAATGTTCAAAAAGTTTTGTGAGTGGGGGGGCCTAAAAAAGCCACTGACATCATATTTTATATGTGATCAATACATGATTTTATACTGCCGTGCATGCACAAATTCTGGGGTCCCTTGTTGACTCTCCGTACGTGCCGAATACGTTAACTAACTTGAGCATTACGGATTATCTAATTGCAAAGGCTATATGGGTGGAAAGGCGTTACTAGGTAAGCTTAACCAGCGAATCTCCTCAGGGTCCAAAGAAACGAGTAGTTACCTGAAGAGCGAAGAGGTCAGTTGAGGAAACGGAGCCACTCTATTGACACTTGGATTAAGCCATCGCCAACTGAAATACCCAGGAGTCGCTTCAAGTGAGTCGGTCTGGTAAACTTATGCCTTACCGCCTTTGGGCAGTACCCCCGCACTCCATTTTATTGGTCCAAGCCACGGTCGTCGTCTCCACCTTCGCTTCGCTTGGTCGGAGCCGAGGCATCCTCGGGTTGGGGACGACTGGGGTAATGGCTGGCGTTTTAAAAGGCTTCTATATCTCCAATTCAACTTGTTTATACTTCCTTCTCTCATCTGCTATAGAATTGCTTACCCAAATCACCGTTTACTTCGCCATCACACGCTCCCAATCTCATCTTCCAACCGTTGCAATGCGTGGAATCCAAGTCTCCAAATACGTCGACGTAAGCAGCCTCCCCTCTCCCCTCTCCCCTCCCCTCCCCATCTCCCTCCTCAACCTCCCTAAACCCGTAACTAACACTCCCCCTACAGGGCCCCTCCGCCCTCACCGTCACAACCCACCCCACTCCCTCTCCCTCTCCCAACCTCTACCAAATCACCATCCACGCCACCGCAGCCAACTTCTTCGACCTCCTCCAAATCCAAGGGAAATACCAGCACCAGCCCCCCCTCCCCTGGATCTCCGGCTCCGAATTCGCCGGCGTCATCACCGCGCTCCCTACCTCCCCTTCTTCCCCGCCAAAGTTCAAGCTCGGCGATCGCGTCTTCGGCGCCGCACAGGGTGGGTTCGCTACTCATGTCCTTGCCCCCGAGGGATCCCTCCGCGCTGTGCCGAGGGGGTGGACGTTTGATGATGCCGCGGGATTGTTCGTTACTGCGCCGACTGGATACGGAGCGTTAGTCACCCGCGCGAATGTGCAGAAGGGCGAGTGGGTGCTTGTGCACGCCGCGGCAGGAGGTGTTGGGCTGGCAGCTGTTCAGGTTGCGAAGGCGAGGGGGGCGAAGGTCATCGCTACTGCAGGGACGGCGGCGAAACTTGCCGTGGCAAAGAGCTTTGGGGCTGATTATGGGGTTGACTATGGAGATAAGAAGTGGGTCGAGGAGGTTATGAAGATTACAGGCGGGAAGGGGGTTGATGTGGTCTTTGACCCTGTTGGAATGGTGGATGTTTCGCTCAAGTGCACAGCGTGGAATGGACGGATTGTGGTTGTTGGGTTTGCGGCGGGAAAGATTGAGAAGGTTGCCATGAACAGGGTGTTGTTGAAGAATGTGAGTCTCGTTGGATTGCACTGGGGACGCTATGTCAAGGAGGAGCCGGCGATGGTGGAGGAGGTTTGGGCGGGGATTTTTGGGATGATTGAGCGCGGGGAGTTTAGGGGAACGGTATTTACAGACAAGGAATATGTGGGGTTGGAGACGGTGCCGGCGGCGTTGGAGGCGCTGGGGAGTAGGGGGACGTGGGGGAAGGTGGTTATCAAGGTGCCACAGGGGGGGGATTCGTCGAAGTTGTAAGGATGGGATATTCTGTACGCTTATGATGGTGTGAGCTAGCTCGCCTAGGGTGTTCTTTTAGGATGTTAATATATTCAATATGTCCAATATGTCCAATATATGGCTTTATTGTTCTTATTAAAATGTGATAAAGCGCTTTGTTGCGTTGGTAGTAGTGGTAGCTGTATGCATGTGGTTGGATGGCGGCATTGGCGGCGGAGAAAGGGTTGGATGTCGATAGAAGATACTCTAGAGATAGACCCTGACATTAAACCCCTCAAAACATTGTCTTCTAAATAACTTCACTTCCTCTTCATCTCTTCCTTTTGTAAAATTGAATTTAACCACCAATATATTGTACTATAGCTTGCCTAGTACAGATTATATAAGTAAGTCGCAGCTTTAATATCTACGAGGTCGATGTTCCATGTCATTCGCCACGATTGGAGATTAGCGATTACCCGCAAGGCTCCCTTGCTTGACATTAACGTCATCCAGAAGCCCTCAATCCCTCATTGCCTGACAACATAATCAGCTGCATCTGCAAAACAAACAGTTGCAGAAACACTATTCGCAGTCGTACTCACAACCCACGTACTTATCCTCGATACAGAACATCACACGCTCCTACTCTCCGACAGATCGCGGCACCTCATAACGCCAACCATGTCAGAAGAGGACAAGACGGCCGACGAGGTCCTCCTCAACTTCAAGGTCAAGACCTCCAGCGACGGCCTCCACAACATCACCATCCCCGAGACCGCCACCGTCCTCGATCTCAAGACCAAGCTCGCCAGCGAAGAGTACGAGAACGTCCCGGCTGAGCGCCAACGCCTCATCTACTCGGGCCGCGTCCTCAAGAACGAAGAGCACCTCGCCACATACAAGATCAAGAATGGCAACACCATACACATGGTCAAGAGCGCCGCCAGCAATGCCGTACAGAACCCAGCAAATGCAGGTGCTACCGCCACCCCAGCAAGCGGCGTCCCAACCAACATGGCAGCAGGTACAGCAAACAACGCTCTGGCAAACCTGACGGGTGCCCGCTATGCCGGCCAAGTCAACCTTCCCAGCCGCGACATGTTCGGTGTAGACGGTGGTGTAAGTCCCCCCCCTGCTCCCTCAGACCATTATCACACTCACTAACACCTTATCAGATGGGTGCCCCACCAAACGAAGACCAAGTAGCCGACATGCTCTCCGACCCCGCCACCGCGCAAATCATGAACGAAGCCCTCAACAACCCCCAAATGGTCGACATGATGATCCAAGCCAACCCCACCCTTCGCGCCCTCGGCCCCGCCGCCCGCGAAATGCTCCAGTCCCCCATGTTCCGCCAGATGATGACGGACCCAAACATGATCCGCCAGGCTGCACGCATGCAGCGCCAGATGGGCGGTGGTGGGGGAGCTTCCGCATTCCCCGCTCCGGGCGTGACGGATACTACGCCTGCTGATGCTGCGGGTGCGCAGGCACAAGGCCAGAGACAAGCTGGGTCGCAGGATCCGGCTGCTGTGTTCCCCGGCCTGTTTGGTGCAGGTGGGGGAGCTGGCGCGGGAAACCCGTTCGCGAGTCTCTTCCAGCCACAAGGTCAAGGACAGCGCCAAGGTCAAGGCCAAGGCGCACAATCACCACCCGCTGTCTCGTCTCCAGGATCGCAGCAACCCGGCCAGCCCGGCGCAGAGGGCATGCCACCCAACCCGTTTGCGAACCTTTTCTCCGGCGGCGCAGGCGGAAACACCAATCCGTTCGCGTACGGACTGCCGCCGCCAACACCGGAGCAGATGAGACAGGCGATGCAGATGCTTGGGCAGATGGGTGGTGGTGAGGGAGGTGGGAACCCGTTCGCTGGTGCTGGTGCGGGGGGATTTGGGAGTCCGGGAGCAGGAACGACGTCGCCACCACCGGCGGATACGAGGCCGCCTGAGGAGATATATGCGGATCAGTTGAGGGCGCTGAATGATATGGGGTTCTTTGATTTTGAGGCGAATGTTAGGGCGTTGAGGAGGAGTGGGGGGAGTGTGCAGGGGGCTGTGGAGCAGTTGCTTGGATGAGCGGGGGGTCGGTATAGGATGAGTCGATCGGGACGGATGTGAGGGGAGGTATGGAGGGAGCGAGGGACTTTGATGAAGATGATGGTATGCCTGGGTTGGCCGGAGGAATAAGCTTTTATGAGCTATGTAGCTTTGTGGCTAGATTCGAATGACTAAATGCTTTATGAGACCTTAATAGATGTTTTATCACGTCTGTTGTTGGAAAATTCGCACGTAATTTGAGCAGACCGCAGATCAGACACAACTTGGCTGCAAATATGTCACTAGTATATGATTGATGCCTCTACATGCCCATGCCATCAAGTACCAGTTCTAGAGTAGAAAATTCACGGGCGCCATCACCCCCATCTATGTACTACCTCTGTCCCCAACCAAAAAAAAATATAATCTCCCAATCCCTCCATGCAATGCAAACAAATGCACAAAAGAAAAACCCCTCTACCCATCCCCATCTAATTACGATCCAATCTCCTCCTCAAATTCCTCGTCCGCCGCATCAGCTTCTTATACTTATGCTTCTTCATCTTCAGCTTCCTCTGCCTCTTCACACTAATCGCCCACATCTCCCCGCCAGCTCTCTCCTCGACATATCTCAACCTCCGCCCACGCATGCGCTCCCTGAATGCCGTTGGCACCGTCGGCTCCTCCACATCTTGTAGTGGCGAGCTGTGTGCTACGTACGTCACCTCGCCGAGCGGGGAGGTGCTCTCCTCGATTGTCAGGGTAGCTGTGTACGTGCGTTTCGCCTGACCGGTCTCGGTCGCTGGCGCAGCGTCAACGGGCATGAGGACCGGTGGCGGCGGAGCGTTGAAGGGCTGGTAGCGTCCCGTCAGGATGTGCTGCGGGAAGGGGATAGCGTCCTGGCCGTCGAGGTGTGTGATATCGTTTGGCTCGGCGGCGAGGGCGGCGCGGAGTGTCTCGTCGGCGCCGAAGCTGTCGTGGGTGGGCGTGCCGTCGAGGGCGCGGACAGTGCTGGAGAGGGTTGAGAGGACGGCGGCGACGCGGTGGGGGGGTGGGCGGCGAAGATGGAGGCGAAGGCCGAGGTGGTGATGGGTTTGGGGAAGGGGGAGGTGACGGAGATGGGGCGGTGGAGGGAGAAGAAGGTTGAGGCTGCGATGTCTGGGGGGTAAGAGGTTAGCTTTGGCATTCGAGCTGGGGGGTGTGAAGTGGGATGGGAGGTGGCGAACCTTTCACTTGGAGGTGGTGAGTGCTAGGCACACTGGGCAAGTTGTCAAAGGCCTCATCGCGCCCCTTCACGGTGTGAGCCGCAGCGCCCTTAGCCTTGCGGGTGCGCTGAGTCTTCTTCTTCGCGCCCTCCGAGCGAGTCTGTGCCGGGGTAGCGGGGACAGAGCCCTCCGCGACGCCCTTTGAGCCATCTGCCGGTCTGGACGGCTTGGAGGAGGAGTAGCGGCGTTGTAGGGGCTGGCACGAGAGGCTCTGCGTCGACACGGCTCGTGGGACGGAGGTGGCGAGGGAGGCAGCGATGGGAGATGGCTGAGCAGCAAAGGCTGCCCGCCGCACGGAAGAGGTAAACATGGCTCCTTCCTGCTCGTGGTGGCTGGGGGAGTCGTGGTTTGTTGAGGTTGCAGGTGTGACGGTTCCATCTCCGAAGTCTTGCTCTCTAGCCGCCGAACGGCAAAAGCTCTTGGGGTGTCACGTGAGTATCGGGATGTTGTGGCGCTAAAATTGTGTGTCCGTACTCTTGAGACTTGAGACGACAGACCAGCGACTAACTATAACGACGAGCAAAGTTGAAATTACAACAAGTAATAAATTGTATATACACTTTGAAATTTCCGTTGGTTGGGATTTTTAAAATAACAGATGCATTACTCTGGTGTTTTTACAGAAAAGAGGTTTCACAGGACCAGTTCACAATTTTCACTTAAGACTGCAATTGGATTTTATAATTTTATTGGATCTGACTATTACACGATTTAGTGATTCCCTTTGGTTGTACTTATTGGGTCTCCGTGAATATGTTCAAATACCGTCGATAGCCAGTCAGCAAATTGTGGACGACATATACCTATAGTCAGAAATCGAACGAGGAAGTTGTTGTTTGGCGGATACACAAAATCTCGGCCTGTCTTGTACTCCTTGCGCTTCCCATTCTCCTTTCCGAAAGTTGTACTTCAACAATTGTCGCCTCTTTGAGTATATATACATACACATTTTGACACGTAGTGCGTCAGTGTGGTAAGTGCGAATCAAGCAGAAGATGCATGAAACGTGTGGATCAGAACAGTGATGATCACGACAACAGTGGCGCTGCAGACATAGGCGGCGAACAAGTAGCCTGCGACCTTCTTCTGGGTCTTGCCAAAGTGGGAAATATCACCCTTGGTGTACCAGATCATGAACTGATCAAGCCAGCCAACTCTCAGGAGGAGAAGAGCTGGTGGAAGGAGCATGCATACAGCCACCGCAACATTCGAAATCTTGGCCTTGCGATCAGCAGTGTCGGTGGCCGTGGACGAATTGTCATGGATCCAGGCCGACAAGCGTGGAGGGCCTTCATGGACGTGCCACGCAGGATCGCGCAAGAGAGGCTCTCCAATGAGCGGAGATGAGTGAGCAGAACTCAGGGGCGAATCAACAGGACGCGGGGATGACTGATCAAAACGCGGAGATGAATAATCAAAACGTGGGGATGAATGAGCTGAATGCGGGGATGAATTGATGCGGTTCAGGTCCGCAGTCGAATACAGATTCATCCACTCAGCTGACTGGACTGGCGCAAGAGGAGACTTGTACACATAGTTCTCATTGCCAGTAGGCTGTGGAATGATCTGGTTGATAGGTCCCAGAGAGTCGGCGACCAGAGACAAAGGGCGCAGCATGCGGCTTGGAGAGTATGCCACTTTAGTCTTACCGGGCAATGTGCGTCCCAGCGACTTCGTTGGAGAATATGGCATCTTAGTGGGTGTCTCCTCAACTTTCTTGGCAAGAAGGGAGTTTGCCTTTGACTGAAGCTTCCTGTAGAAGGCACCAGGGGGACCTTTGACGAGAGGAGCACGGGCACGAGAGTTGCCCGGTGTAATTCCAGTGCGCTCCTTCGCATTGGGATCCTGATTGAAAGCGTACAGACCGCCGTATGGATGGTTCTCGTTCACGGGTGGGCCGCCATGGAGGTCCACGAAGAAAGAGTCATCATCAGAGGCGGTGCTGGTATCCGCGATGCTGCTTCCAAGGGTGCGGTGTTCGCTGTCATTGTCTCCCATGTATTGTGGCATTGTACCTCCATTTGCCTGGATCATTATTTGCATGAATGAATCTGGGGAGTTCATTCCTCGGTTGCTTGGGCTTCCTCTCAAATCTACCCCCAAGTGATTATCGCCTTCAACCCAATGCATTGGAGTTGATGGGCCAGCAAAGTTGCCGAGGCCAGGAAGGGTCATATCCATGGTAGTAGAGATTGATTGATCGTGCTGGAAGTCATCATTGAACCTACTCTTATACTGTGGCTTCATAACTGGGCCGTTCTGCCTTGAACGCGAGTAGTTGTCCAATGGCGAAGATAGAGTATCCTCGGGCATAAGAGAGCTTGTAACAGCTCCAAAGCCCCTCTTTGGTGTTCTGAACCCATTCAAAGGGAACCCATCAGTTCCATGCATTCTGCGTCTGGGGAGCATAGTGGATGATGATGTCTCCATGACATGTCCTGGATGCATCCCATCGTCGCCATTGTAACGATCATGATAGCGCATGACTTGCTCCGATTGTGCAAGTGTGAGGGCAGCCAGAATTGGGCCACTGCTGCTTTCCCCAAGATGATCCGAAAAATTGGCAATGCTGCTCCCAGCTTCGTTGAAGGCAGCATCGACGAATGGACGAATTTTTTCTTTCTCGTCATCCCTGCTAAACAGCATTATGCTATCTGTAACAGTCTCCCAGTCATTGGGATCATCTTCCTTGCCAGTGAAGTTGCTAGAACCGGAGGTTCTATGCTTTGAAAGTCTCGGAGATCCATCTTTGCCAGGAATTGGACGGATGGGGATTTTGATGGCCTTGTCCTTGTTCCTCCTATGCCATGCTTTCTTCGAAGGAGAGTGACGAGTAGCATAGAACCCATCGGAGAAAATCTTCGAAAGGCGCTTCTGATCAGATCGAAGGTTTCTCATGACCGATTTGTAGCTGGAGGGGGTAGTTTGAAATCCGACTTCGCCCTTCTTGGGAGAGGGTGCCTTCTCACTGTTTCCACCATCGTCGGCCATTCCATGAAGTTCAATGCTGATATTTCTCTCGTGGTAATTGTGGGTCGCTGGGCTCATCGACTCTTCACCATCTTCACAAAGTCCTTTCTTGAGCGGTGATGCACTGTTTGCCTGCTTGCCAACCTTTTTCTTGGTTGGTGTATTCGGGGAGAGGCCAAGAAGATTGTGCGTATCTTCATATGGCGAGGACGACGGGCCAAGTACTCTCGGGGAGGAATCAGCCAGATAAACCCGACCGGGTGGCGCAGGTACACGAGGGAGACCAATGTTTGACGGGTTTCCCATGACTGGGGCACTGGTGTTTGTACCGCGACGGAAAGGCGTCAATGGAGCGGGCTTGATTGACTCTTGCGAAGGGCAAACCATGGGACATCCATGTGTGGCTCTAGTGGCCGTTGGAATATTATCCGGGAGCGTAATGGACTCAATGGTGTTTTCATCATCGTAGAAGCTCATAATAGAGGCGTCATCATCGTCTACTCCCGCGAACTCAACATGGTGAAGCACAGTGCCAGCTTCAGAGTGAGGAGATGAATTTGACAAGGAGACAGTGGATGGGTTAGACAAAGAGGTCTGGTCCTTATCTTCAAAGGTTTGAGTCTGGTCGGGAAAAAGAACCAAATCTTCGCCATTGTTGCTTCCCTCGAAGCTAATGTCCTCGTCGTATCCGTAGTAAGATCCAGCATCGTCGCCGAAGTTGCTGTCCAGACCATGGATTTCACCGTAGTTGTGATTGTGGATAACGGTCTCAGAAGTTGAATGAAACAGACCTGGTTGATACTTTGATTGATCAATGATTGGCGACAATGGAATAAAGTTCACATCATTCCCAGCTGCCTGTGTTGGCAAAACATCGCTCTGCAGATCTTGAAAAAGATTCTTCGGCCCCGGGCTTGGGCTACTAACACTGTACACGCTGCTAGTAGGCCTCACAGGTCTCGCAGCAAGCACATTGACCCTAGCATTGGGGGTGCTGGGTGGGTGCACAAGAAGGCTGGAAGAGCCAGCAGGTGATTCGACATCCGATCGTGGGCAATCCTTGACGATTGAGAGACGTGGTGAGAAAACTTTTCCATAGTTGCGTGTCGAGAAAACGCCCTTTTCAGATTCACTCGCTCCACCCAAAGTTCCAAATTCAAGAGACAGGTTGCGAACATTTTTCAAGGCCGCACGTGGTGGAATAGCGGGCTTGTTAGGAAAAGCCGTATCGAGTCTCACAGGCTTAACCTCAAAATGCTCCAGGATAAGCTCGGTCTTGAGTAATGACGATTCAGCGAGATTGTTTTCTGAGAGCTTTGCTCTGGAGTTCTTGGAGGTGATCGATGAGTGAGCCGTAGCAAAGTCATTAAAGACTGATTGAACTGGAGTAAACTTGCGAGATCCAGCAAGTGAATTCTGCAAAGGGCGAGTGGTGACCTTGGCCAAGTTGCCAGAAGAATCACTGTTGGAGAGCGAAGCAGTAATTTTTGCGAAGCTCATGGTAGAATCATTTTTGGAAAGCTGAAAAGTTCCGTGGGTGGCTTTTGGTGCCACAGTTTGGGATGCTTCAGCCATGTTGGCGGTTTGCACCGAGTGCTGTAGATCGTTCTCGTGAGGAACAATCTGGGCAATAGTAACGTCGGGATCCATTGTCGAAGATCTTAGACGTGTGAAAGCATAGAACAGGATCAATGCAATTGCTTGCCACAGGTAGGATACAGCGATAGAGACAGAATTGCGATAAATGGATGGAACGAGCGTGTGGTTTTGAAGCCGTAGAATGGTGCTTTGTCTAGATGCTCTAGATGCAAAGTGTTGTTGAGTGGAAGAGCTGAAAGATGAAGCTCAGCATTGGCTGTTGCGAGTTTGATTCTTGACAATTGCCCTCACGAAGATCGGTGAGGTGATGGAACTTTGAAACAAGATTCAAGAAACAATCAAGAGTTGGCAAGATTCACCTTTCAAAGAACTTGCCAAGATCAGATCGATCAAGGCAGATGATGAGTTTCTTTGATGGGGTGTTCTTTGCGTTGATTCTTTCACGTTATTAGTTAAAACGTTTTGATAGATCTTGACGAATACTTACCCAATCTGCAGATCGAATCTACCTTGAGCGAAGAAGCTTTTCTTGATGGTATCTTGTATATTAATCAACAGTAATGACCGTTGAATCAAAAGTAGTAGAAGTAGGGAGCACGTTGTGGGTTTGGAGGTGGTAAACGTACGTGGTAAACGTTATGAGAATGAGTAGGTCACGTTAAGCGTTAACCGTTACGGGGGCTCGAACTTTATTGGTCTGAATGGACGGGGGTGCCGCGTGAATTCCCTTTGTGTTGACGTTAAGCGTTTAACGCCACGTACGGGGGGACGGGGAGCAGACGGGGGTCAGTAGCATGAAATCTCTCTAGCAATCGGCAGTCGCTGGCAATTACTCGCAGGCATAATATTGTAGACTGTGAAAGCTCGACTCCTGAGAGATGTTTAATACCCCCTCCAAGCACTTTTGAATTTACCAGCACCATGCATAATGAAACCAGATATAAAGTGGTACCAGGCGCACTACCCCATGGTACAAACGTTTTGATAGGAGAGAGTACTCGAATGCATGCAGCTAGAAGCCCAAATATATAACTATTATTGAAAGCATACAATGAAGACTATGAGCACGAGGTACTCGTATGATGGACATGGTAGAGAAAGTAGTATTTTATATTATGACAATGGAGCGGACGCAGGAGGAATCTGTAGCTTGATGACGCCGAAGTGAATTTGAGGAGCACAACCAGGCCACGCTATGGAACACTCATTCCATAAACTCTACTTTGAGTCTCAATGGGAGGCAGCTTTGGATTTGGCTTAACTGAGAAAACTTACGTTGTCACCAAGCCCCTTTCCCGGAAGCAATCATAATCAGATTTGGAACAAAAAAATTGACCTCAAAATCCACACCAATCGTTATTGCGAAGTATTCATTGCCTTCATATTTTGTGAGCTTTTATTCCTCTAGTTGCAGTTTTCCATAAACGAGCACAACCTTCACTCTCTTCTTACTCCAAGTTGCATCCTGTAGCAATGGCGGCAGCCAAATAACGCCAAACGCCAACCACCCTTCGTGACATAGTTGAAATTTTATGCCTCTCATTTACATCTCTTCTCGACAACGTTCGGGCCAAATTCGTCGTACTCCTTCTTCGCGATCCACATTTGGTGGAAGGTGCCGAGACTGCCCAGAATACTGCCTCCAATCCAGCTACCGAAGCGACGCTCGCTCGTCAGGCCAGCAGCTTGAATCTTAACTCGTGCTCCTGGGTACGCTTGCTGGAGTTCGCTGACCAGTCTGTCCGTGAAGCCATTTGTAAGTGTAGTGCCACCAGTAACGACGACGTTCTGAAGGAGGTTGACGCGAAGATCCATGTCGACTGATGCAACAGCAGCCTTGATCATCTCTGGGATCGTTTGTGACTTGGTGACTGCTGGCTCTCCAGGTACTGGTAGTGCTGCCTTCTCATCCCACATGCCTTCGCCAACCTTGAATCGGTCAACGCCCCATAATTGGTTCGAGCCATTGGGCATCTCGAAGACCCGGCCAGGTTGCGACTTGGCGAAGTCTTCATTCGTCGTGCCTTGAGCCGTGCCGGAGCTGAGGCGTCCGGGACCTGGCCAAACCTGGACCACAGACTCCTTGAATTCTGTGAGGACGCGCTCTTCCTGTAATGCGCGATAGCTCGAAGTAGGCGGGATTGCAAAGTTGTGGTACGTCGCTTGTGCGGGGGCACCGGCATCAACGGCTATCTTTTTGGCAACCATAAAATGTGGTATTAAGTCCACCTTGGTATCCGGGGAGTTGAATAATGTGCGAATTTGGCCTGACAACCAGTTTCCGGCCAACGGAGACTTCTGGACGCCCTTCTTCAGAATCAGGCCGTCGTGGATCGGCGTGACGGAGATGTTGGTTGCACCGATGTCGATAACCAAGGCGCTGGCCTTTCCGGCGGCAAAAGCTGCGAGAACGCTGTTTCGTGCAAGCCAGAATGCAGGGCAACCCCATGACTCCATTGCAATCTCAATCGCCTTCTCCCGAGACTTGGCAGGATTCCAAGCTGTTTCGGTCAACAGAAGCGGGTTTTCCTCAAGCGGCCTCTCATTATCCTCAGCGCCTTCCATCTCTGCATCAATGTCTTTTGTGTCATCGTTTAGTCCATTCTTTGACGGGTGTGTCGGCTTGAAGTTCGTCAGGCGCGAGGTGATCGCATACTCCCAGACCCTCGCAGCGGCATCCCAGTCCTCCACAGTTCCATCCATCCCTATGGGGTTCTTGATTTCTAGGTTGGACATTGGTGTATGGATGGCGTTGTCGCCATAGACCGGCTTCCTGGCATCGCCCTCGCCGACGAGACCGTAGTGACTCGGAATAACCGACTTAGGAACATCTTCTCCAGCAAATCCCGCTCTTGTATTTGTGAACCCGGGATCGAGCACCAATGCGGATACCTCATCTGTCAATCAGTTAGTATGGTAGTTGATGAGAGCAGTACGTCGTCCAAACTTACCTCCGCCATAGATGTTTGTGGGTTCCACAGACGAGTTTAAAGCTTGCGCCATAGTGGGGTAAGGTTAAACGGAGTCGCAAATATGATCAACAGTCGGTATCGATTCTTGCGACTCGATTTCCTCTCGAAATATCCCCAAAATATGTGGCTGGGGGCTGGGTGTCTAACGGTTGTCGCGAACGTAGCTCGATTTCGCGTATCGAGCCTCACCATCGAAGGTCGACGTGAAGTCTTGGCATGTTCACGTCGACCTTCGATGTTGAGGCAGCATCTTGGTGACAAGGTACGCTACAGCCATATAGTGGTGTCACGAATCAAAGGCACTCTTTCACTATTAAATATTAAATATCCATAGTCCAGCATCTACGACAAATCCTCAAAATATTTTAGTCTCTCGCTGTAATAAATAAATTTTTACCCTATTTTATTATTCTCATGCTCCAGTCTTTAAAAGTCACGTGTGCACTTCCCAGGACACGAGGGGCAGGGTCCAGGCTCAGCCGTCGCCAATTCCCCATATCAACCCCAGATTTATCCCAATCCCAAGACAACAAACAACAACCTCGTCGTAAACCGCATGGTGAGAGAGAGAGGCTTCTCCGTTTCACAATCGCTTCTCTCCCATTGCGGATTGATATCTACTTTTATAACTTTCCGGACGCTGGTTATACGGACTCGTAGCTCGCTGGGCCACATGTGACAGCTATGGGCGTTTTCTCCTCCTTACGCAGCATTTATGCCCTCGACACTCTAGACACCCGCTTTACCAGCTCTCCAAGGGTCCCATACCAGGCAGTAGTCGATGCCCGAGATGGACAGGGAATTGCGCCTGGCACAGATGCCCCGGTGAAGCTTGACAGCCGGCGGAAGCCAATCCCACCTACGCGCTCCTTATGGAAGACGACCGAGTTCTACCTCTACTATCTTGTAGTTACTATATCTTTGGCGTACATGTTCTGGGTTGCCTTTGATGTTTCTAGACGTCAGTATTACCGGCCCCTTTATAACTTCAGCTACTAACACTGTCGTAGCATCGGATCCCAACTATTACAAGTATGAACGCTGGCTAGCACCCGGCTGGATACCGGGTCGCAGAGTCGACGTGTCCGATGCCCAGTACCGAACATTCAGGAGGAACACTCCATATATCTTTGCGCTGCTCCTCGTCCACCCGGTACTGCGACGTGTCTACGAACGATTACGGCCTGTATCAACTCAGTCGAGGGCATCATTTTCGGGTCAGCCACGGAGGGTCGCTGGAGACGCAAGGCTAGAGCAGCGCACATCCTTCGACTTTGTGTTTGCTTTGATCTTTCTGGCCGCTCTCCACGGCTTCTCCGTTTTCAAAGTTGTCTTCATTCTATACCTCAACTATTCTCTGGCCACGAAGTTACCGAAGAAATATATCGTGCCAGCAACCTGGATATTTGCCGTCGGCACTCTGTTTGCGAATGAGATTTTCAATGGATACCCGTATGCCAAAATTGAGAAATTTCTAATGCCATGGGCTAGCCAAAGTAGCTTCCAGGTTGGAGCGGTTAAGCTTTCATGGGGTTCTTGGCTTGATGGTTATTCCGGGATTATGCCCAGATGGGCTATCTTGTTCAACCTCACAGTCCTGAGACTCGTGAGCTTCAACATAGACTACTACTGGAGTTTGGACCACAGAGCTGGTAGCCCGCTAGAGGTATGCCATTAAAGCAATCCCACCCCGTCCTAAAATGCATACTAATCAATTCAAGAAGAAACAACTCGACCCCGCCAACCTCTCCGAAAACGATCGCATCCGCACCTCCGCCCCCGCAAGAGACTACAACTTCCGCAACTACCTCGCCTATGCCATCTACGCCCCTCTCTACCTCGTCGGCCCCATCGTCACCTACAACGACTACATCTCGCAATGCAAATACCGCTCCCCGACTATCGAGACCTCGCGCACCCTCAAATACGGCATCCGCCTCTTCCTCACCTTCCTCTGCATGGAATTCATCCTACACTTCGACTACTGTGTCGCCATCTCCAAAGCCAACCCCGTCTGGTCTGACTACAGCGCCAAGCAGCTCTCCATCATGTCGCTCTTCAACCTCCACATCGTGTGGCTGAAGCTGCTTCTCCCCTGGAGACTCTTCCGCTTCTGGGCCCTCCTCGACGGCATGGACCCCCCCGAGAACATGATCCGCTGCGTGTCCGACAGCTTCTCCACCGTCCGCTTCTGGCGCGCCTGGCACCGCTCCTTCAATAAGTGGATCGTGCGCTATCTGTATATTCCCCTCGGCGGTTCCAACATCACCGGTCGCTTCGGCCTAGCGAGGACGATCCTCAATTACCTCGTCGTATTCACGTTTGTGGCGCTGTGGCATGATATCAGTCTTAACCTGCTTGTTTGGGGCTGGCTCATCGTGCTATTCATGTTACCGGAGATTATTGGGACGAGGCTCTTCCCGCGCTCGAAGTGGGAGAATAATCTTAAGGCGTGGCGCATGCTGTGCGCTGCGGGGTCGGTACTGAATGTTATAATGATGATGTCGGCTAACCTGGTCGGCTTCGCGGTGGGGGTGGATGGGATGAAGAGTATCATCCACGGCATATTTAGTGATTGGGGAGGTGGGTTTATTTCCTCCTTCTTTTAGGATAAGACACGTGCTAATTATAATCCAGGAATCGCCTTCTTACTCACGGCGTCAGGAGTCTTGTTTACAGCAATCCAGATCATGTTCGAAGTGCGAGAGAGCGAGATTAGACACGGGATTGATCTCAAGTGTTAGGTGTGGAGCGGCATTATACTGTATTTGCGCGCATGTACGACCGAGCATAAGTTGGCGTTCTTTTGTCTCTTTTGGAGCCTGTATAGATAGGGATGATTTGATATTTTTTGTACATGGTATTATTAGGCTATGTAATATGATGCCAATTGAGCCGAGCTTTGAGCATTTGATTTTCCTCGCCCGCCCATGCCACTTTCCGAACGCCCATAATTCATTGAGTAGAGATACTCGTCCAGTCCCTGCCTGATCCGATGCATAACCTTAACGCCGATAATCTCAACCTGGCTCAGCTACAATTCGAACCACCAGCCTCATCGTTTCTCCTTATCATCACCAGGTTGCACAGAGACATACTCGCCCTCACTGTGTCCAGCCTCCAAATCCACATTGCTCCCCCCAGTACTACTAACACTCACCCCCGACGCCGGCCTCTCCACCCTCCTTACCCCCATCATCCACCCCACCAACCCCCTCGGCGCCCACGCCCCAACAAAACTATACAGCCTCGCCCCCCTACCCACCATCACCGTCCCCCCGGCCCTCCACCCCGTTTTCGCCATCTCATCAAACACCGCATTATGCAGCTCCCGAAGATTACTCCCCTTACTCCTCTTCTCAACTGCGCTACCAGCCACACGCATGAAATTGCCACCATAAGCTTCGCGCGCATCATCGGACCAGGTCCGCGCTTCGGCGCTGTGGCCGGAGAGGGTGGCGAGTTGGTTCTTGGGAACCATGGGGTTGGTGTCGAAGGAGCCGAGCTTGAAGTGGATGAGTGGAACGTTAAGGGGGGAGAGCTCGGCGGAGAGGGTAGCGGTGAAGGATTTTAGGCCGGCGCTGACTATGGATTCGGGGGCGTGGAAGGGGGGGTTCAGTGAGGATATTATGACGGGGGTGAGGAGGAGGAGTTTTGGTTGTGGGGGAGGGTGGGCGTGGTGGTGTTGTGATGTTGGTGCGCTGAGGAGGGGGAGGAAGGCTTGTGTTAGGAGGATTGGGTGGAGGAGGCGGGTGTTGATGACATCTTGGATGTCGATCGGAGATAGTGTGGCGACTGGTGAGTTTGGATAGGTGAGGGTTGGTATGACGATAAGGGCTGTAAACTGGAGGTAGTGAGCGCGAGCAGTGTCGAAGGCATGTTGTGGCGTTTGGAGGAATTGTGCAAATCGTTCGATGCCATCGTGTCCGAGCTGTGTCTGTATTAGTGATGAGAAACCAGCTTTGGAGGCCGAAAGACTTACTTTTGAAGTGGAGACATTAATAACCAAAGGCCTGATGTCGCCTCTTCCTTCGTTTTGAACTCGGAGCTCCTCTTGAACATCGTCGCAGACAATAAAAACGATGAAGCCCCTTCTCTCCAAGTCCAGCGCAAGTGACCGCACAAGCGGCTCATTCATTGACCCAGATATCACAACCACTTCCAACCTCGCTCCGTTGGTGCCACGCTTTGCCCTCCTCTTCTTGTTGTAATTTGCTTTCCTCCTTTGCACCATATATGCCGACGCTCCAATCCCTGCGACGATGGCGGTGGTGAAGACTTTGTTCTTAAGCACCCATGCTTGCACACGAGCATACACACCACCTGGCAAGGCAGTAACCGATGATGGCTCTGGAGCTCTGGCAACTGGTCGAGGCCTTGCTGATTCTGGTATCCAGTCTGCTGATGCTAGAGTATCCCTCAGCTTCCTTGCGACTCTGTCGACATGGTCTTCCACATAGTTTGCGATATCATTTGAGTAGCGCTGGACATGGCGCGGGACGGAGTTTAAGGCATCTAGGAATGCCTGGTCGTCTGCGGACATCGCGAGCGTTATATATTTTCGAATAGGTAAGCGTGTATCGGAGATGTTAAAGTTATGTTGTGTCGATTTAAAGCTGGGGAGACCTTTGATCTGTGATGGATGATTTGAAATGACGGGCTGTTTCCGTCTTCCTTATCCTGATAGATACCATGACAGGACAAGCTTGAAGCTAAACCGGAGCGGCGCCTGCCAATGCCGATTGGCCGACATGGCTCATATCGACCATATCCAGAACATAAGGCTGACAAAGTCAAGATTCACCTTCAAAAAGCTATTGACTTTATTTTATGATTCGGATTTATACTGTGAATCGGAACAATGCTACAAGGTTTGATATTAATGATAATATTCATAATCAGTTGAATCTACCGATACCCCCCACAGAACAGTGATTAAACAGCATGACCTCTTACATTCAGTATCCATAGCCTTGCGAACTATATTAACGTTGGAAGCTCCCCAGAAGCTATTTTGAAGATAAGTCAGATTTATATATTTAAAATATTGCCCCTGGTAACGTACGAAATATGGATCCCTTGATATATGATATTCAGGTCGAGCGAGGGCTCCACAGACCAGATGTTGCAATGGACACTCTCCAACGTGCCGCCTCGCTGGTCAAGCCTATAATGCGAGCCCATAATTTCAAGGTAGGATTGTTGGCAGAGTTTCTACCAAAAGAAAGAGGCCTTCTTGGTAAGTCTGTCAACCTCAAATCATATGCCATGTATACTGACACTCACCAGGTCTCAACACCGGAGGCGGGAGGACTATCCATGTCCGCCTTCGCCATGCCACGGACCCAACTCAGTTCTTCACATTCCAGATGATCATGGATACTGTGCTCCACGAGCTCTCCCACAACCGGTTTGGCCCGCACGACGCGAATTTCCACGCACTATGGGACCAACTCCGCGATGAGTACTATGCTCTCATGCAGAGTGGCTTCACTGGCGGTGCCTTCCTGAGCCATGGTCATCTCCTTAGCCGCCAGGATGAAGCGCGGCGTATTGCACGTGCTGCTATCACAGATAGCCGCAAGAAACTACCATTGACAGTAAACCGGAAGCTAATTGAGGCGGGTCCCAAACCAGGTGTTGATGCCCGGAGTAGGCTTACAGGTGCATTTGGGAGGATGCAGATTGCCCAGGGGTGTGGCTGCAATATGCCAAAGTCGGAGCAGAAGGCTCTCGTGGCTGCAGCGGGTGTTAACGTGATAAAGTCCAGGGTAGAAAAGGACGACGCCAACGAGATTGCCATCCAGGAAGCACTGTGGGAGCTAGCTCAGGAGGATAGAGCGTCGTCTTCAAAGCCAGAAGGTGCATCATATGGCTCAGCAGCTGGCAAAGGCGGAAGTCTGTCTACAAACCGCCCCTTGTCATCTTACACATATGACGCCTCATCTAAGTCCTCAAAGCCCTACGACTCAGACTCAGACTCAGAATACTCAGAAGGCCCTTCACTCTCCAAACCACCCCCACAATACGTCCAGCTCGTCGACGAAGAGTTCTGGCAATGCGAGACCTGCACGCTGATCAACAAGGAAGAAGCCGTCTGCTGCGACGCATGTGGCACCGCCCGGCCGGGTACAGAACCTCCCCCGAAAGCAAGTTCGAGCAAAGCTCCGACTAAGGCTACGGCGAAGAAGACAACATATAAAGCTCCACCTGCGAAGAGCTCGGCTCGGACTCGTCCGTCTTCGAGTCGTGCGGGACCGTCCAGGCAGGTTGCTAGATCAGGGACCTGGCAGTGTGCTTGTTCGCTGATCAACAAAGAGGGGAGAGTGTGTTGCGCCGCTTGTGGAATTGCGCGGCCTGGTTCATAATCCCGTAGCAGCTGTGAGAAATGCTTGTAAGTCAGTTGCAAAGAAATCACATTGATTCTGACCCATCTTCTGTGGGCCAGGCATTATTGGCTGGACCAGATATGCAGGCTGTCAAGCAGCGGTGGAGGCAGCCAATGCTGTGGACCAGTGGGATGCACAGGAATATGATGAAGAGTTAGTGGGCTTGCTCAGTGTATGGGACGATGAAGTCTACAGCCCGATAATCTGACATGGTTTACCTCGCCACCGGTGGGTTATACCAAGTTATTTTTGGACCCCGGTTTGATTCTTGAAGCAAGAAAGCAAGATTGGCCCGATAGTAGCCTTTCCCTTTATTTTTTATCGCGTTAACTGTAGTCAGGGTACTGGGATCGCGACTCGAGCGTGCTTTGTTTTAGTAACTTTCGTAGTTTTAGATTTCAATATGGCGGCATGGAAGCTAGGAATATAATATATATGCTTCAGAAACCTTTACAAACTATCAATTATTATATACGGCTGACCATTTTTACTTTAATTAAACTCTCGAATCAAATAGATCAAATATCAGTAGGAGTCGAATTTAAGAGTCGAATTTAAGAGAGTCGAAATACTTGCCAGGAAAAATCCAAATAGAAACCCGGGCCCCCTTCCTCACATATCCCAGTACCCTGACTACAGTAAACGCGATAAAAAATGAAGGGAAAGGCTACTATCGGGCCAATGAGAGATTATTCGCAGCTCGGAGCAGCGAGTCACCAGCGTATGCTTGTATAAGAAGTAAATACGTGTTCTGGTTCCTTCAAGAAACCAACGAGATCAAAAAATGATACAAGGACTGAACTTGTTCTAGACGAAAAGCCAGGGGCAGCATTTAATCATTCATCCAAGATTAGGCGAACAAGTCTGATATCTGACAGCCGTCACCGCCGTATTTCCTCGTTGCCACGATTTTCCTGTTGGCGAAACGCATTTCTCGTCGAGAAATGCTGCTGCTGTCGCGATATGTCTCCACCAGCCCAACGCCCCGCCCAACACCCTCTCTATATATCACTCCTCCCCCCACTTATTCAAGAGCTTGTGTTCCCTTTCTCTCTCGGGCTGCATCGTAGATAACTCTAACAGCTTCAAGCTTGGAATAAATAGTATTGGCCAAATTCAGGGCTGTGTCGGGAGCGGACTGGGGTGTGGGAATGTCGAGCTTGCTGTGCTGCTCTCCCTTGGTGTTTTGCCCCTTTTTAAATATCTTTCCATGCACTCTTTACCAGGAAACCATTGTGGTTCTCCTGGTTATGGGCTAGACACGAAAATTATTAACTTCCCCGACTACATATTTCACCCTGCTGACCTCAAATTATCCTCAGATAAGGAGGTGAGATGACATACCCATGACTTTCAACTCATGACTTTCCAACTCTTCTCCAAGCCCGTATAACCCAACTGACCACTTCGCAACCCCCGATGCAATAAATTCCAAAATCGACCAGCTGTCCCAAGTCCATTTTATCCCCATTGACTCAGAATAAACTTGGATACCAAGGTGAGATGGCAACTCAAACGCTCCAACCACCATAGGCACAATGATAGGTTCATGGGAAAGCCATCTCGAGCTCTCCAAACGGTGGCGCACAGCTATAGCTCCCATAAACATAGCCTTCGTTTAACTTCTTCTCACCCTCCACCTCCTCTCACCGTACACCCCACACTGTCACTTCCAATACCATCACACTGCGAATGCATTCCCAGTCCCTCCCAATCCCTTCCACCCCCCGCCTTTGCCCCAAACCACTGAACACGTATGATTCCCATTCTCGTCCAAAGCTAGCTCTAAGCGCTTTGTTTTGAAGTTCCAGGATATAATGCTGTGGGGATCTACGCCATGCATATTGCCGACTTGGGATTGGAGGTTTGGGTTTTGATGAAGCTTTCTGTAATATACATATATAACTGCGGATCCAATGTGTATGAAGTTGACAACAAGCCAATTACCATAGAAGACTCGTCATGCGCATAGGCAAGTCTGGTGGACCAGATCCGAGAACATGTCCTCGTTGGCCAAGAGATTTTCGAGGTTGGTGTGTATGTCAAGACCCCGTTTCTCACCTTTCAGCTGTTCTCACAACACTTGTCACCGTTCACTTCCCTCTCACCGTCCATTCCCACCGTCACCAACCTCCCCCGCCACGATGTCAGCGAACTCGGTCTCACCCCTGCATAATCCCCGTGCTCGCACATTTACTTTCAGACGGCTCCTAAAACTTGTCGTTGGGGCAAAAGAGTGCATCGATTCTAAGATGGCCACATCCACCATCCCACACTGTAGCCCTTAATATATCTAAACCTGCATCGACTCAAGTAGCAAACCACACATCCGCACGAAGTCACCATGCCGTCAATCACCAGAACATCCCACCAGGGAACTGATACATCAGCACTCCTCGATCCGCAATACCGTCCTGCCGAATATCAGGGATTTGCGAAGCCAAAGTCATGCTGCTTCGCAAATGGTGAGTTGGGTTGAAAGGATCGTTTTTCGGGAAGCTGTCTTACCTACCTGGCTATGTTTTTTTCGGGCCACGCTTCTTCTTGCTGGGAATGGCTTCTCACTGTTCTCAACCCCTGTTTTTTCTTCTCCGTTCTCTTCTTCTCACTACCGCTAACAACCCCCCTAAGCCACACCAGCACCACTCCCCCAACCCATCTAATCGTCTATCTAGCCCACGCCCAGCGAAGAAGATGAGAGCAGGCAAGCCCAATATGATGGCTATTCTGTCTTTTTTTTTGTCTCACCTAGATCTATTCCTTGCCATGATAACATGGCGTCAGGGATAGAGATGCGGTAGGGTTGATGGACTGCGTAGATGGGGATCCTCTTTTTTATTTAAGTACCGTCGAAAGATGCAGAGCAGGGAACTAGCACAGTATTTTCATATCAAATCAATCCCCCATTCCACCACCCAAAAAAAACCCCATATCTACATATAAACGCCTCGACTAACAAACCGTAAGATCACCCCCCCTTCCCTCCCCCTTCCCTTACATCGACCACTTAACCAAGTAAATCATCCAACCCACTCCCCCTCCACTCCCCCTCCCCCCACATTCCCCCTCCCACATTCCCACTCTGCGCCTTCGGCGCCCCCGCCCCCCAAATCCCCTGCGTAGCCTTCTCCCTCGCCAATTGTCCCAGCGCCGGTCCCTGAGCGGGGGCAGAGGATTTCTTGACCCCCGCGCTTGCTGTGTTCCATAGGTTGCCGAATGCGTCGCCACCCTTCTTGGCCGGTGCCGCAGCGGCAGAGGGGGTGCTGGCTCTCGCGGAAGAGGCGGTGAGGGGTGCGCTGCTGGTGGATGCTGCACCGAGGGCTTTGACAGAGGTGAAGTAGTTAGGTTGCGCGGACTGATAGCTTGTTGTCTGACTCGGCTGTGGTCGCATCGCCTGAACAGGTGCCCCGAAAGAAGAAGCCGCAGGCGCAGGGATAGAGAAGGCAGAGTAGTTAACTGGGGTGGAAGTTGAGCTCGGCGCAGGCGACAGCGAAGCAACCCCCATCATCGTCGACAGATCCGCCTGTTTCGGCGCCGAAACGGGCTGCGGCGACGCGAACTGCGTGTACGGCGTCGTCGTTGACGTCGTAGCCGGCGCCGAGGGGGGCGGGGCAGCGGACTGGAAGTCGTCGAAGTCGTCATCATCATCGGCGGCTGCGAGGGCGTGGGATGTTGGAGCGACGGCACCGAGGCCAGGGACGGGGGATGGCTCATCAAAGGAGAAGAGGTCTACTTCCGGTGCTTTGGGCGCGGGGGGTGCGGCTTTAGGTTTCGCTGTGCTGCGCTCTGTGCCTGCGCGAGGAGTGGTGCGGGAGGGTTCGGGGCGCCGCCTGCTGGGGGAGGCGACATCTTCGTCGTACTCGTCGTATTCCTCGAATCTGTCTCCGCCGCCTCCACCACTACCGCCCGCGCGAGAGGGCTCATAATCGCCACCACTCTGCTGACCCCCGAAGCCTCCGCCGTCACCGAAGACGCCCCCGCTGTATCCGCCATAGTCCCCGCGCTCCTCGCTCCCGAACCCGCCGAAGCGACTGGAGCCGCCCCCTCCGCCGAGACCCGCGCCGCCTTCCACACCCGTGTATTTCTGTCTTGTAGCGCGTGCCTTCTTGCGTTCTGTTCTGATCCTCTCTACATCGCTCAGGAGCTCAGTGAGTTCCTTCGCGCGATTGCGGACGTTGATGCCCTGGTCCTTGCCGTTGGCGTCGATGAAGTGGAATTGGCGCAGCATCTTGAGGAGGGTGAGGTGGGAGCGGGCGTCGTCGATGACGCGCTCGGAGCCGTTCTTGATGAGGAACTCGAGGAGCTGGAGGGCTTTGTAGATTTGGCGCCATTCGTCGGCGGCTTTTTCGGTGAAGCGCTTGTAGATCATGGGCATGATTTCGTTGAGGAGTTGGCTGGGGGGAAGGGGGGGTTGTTAGTTGAGGGGGGTGAGATGGAGGGGTGGGAGGAGGCGGGGGCGTACTAGTTGTAGGTGCCGTTGGCTATCTCTTGCATGTCCTGTAGGACGGATCAGCGGGGGGTTCGGGGGATGGGATGGACTGCGGTCCAAGTGAATATCGGGGGGAGCATACGGTCGTAGATGATCCCCAAGGGTTATTATTCGTAGCCTCCCTAACTTTCGCCTCCATCTCCGTATAATTCATCACAGCTACACAATCAGCAGTCAGTACGGCATCTCCCTCCAACCCTCAGCAACCGCAATGGCTTGCTTACCATTCTGGACCTTCCGGACGCCGGCTTTGATGTCATAGAGAGACAGGTTGGTGACCTGCTCCTTGAGGGAATCAAAGTTCATGATGGGCAAGATATATTAGGAGTGCAACACGGGAAGAGAGAGGGGTGCTGCGATGCTGGCTGCGGAAGGGGAACAATTATATTGGTGGTGCTGGGTGCGCGATATGTCAATGCTGGCAAGCTAGTTGGAGCAGCTGGGCGGCGGCGCGTGAGGCACGTGATTAAGGTGTTGGAGGGAACAGAGGGAAAGAGGGAAAGAGGGGGGAAAGAGGAAAGAGGGAAAGAGGGAAAGAGGGAAAGAGGGAAGGAGGGAAGGAGGGAAGGAGGAGAGGGATGTGAGGCAATGAAAGAGCGGCGACGGCGAATGGGTGGTGAGTGTTATATAATCTTAATCTTTCATCTTTCATCTTTCATCTTTTATACTACACCAGAATATCTTCTAATACTTGTAGCGTCATCTCTCCCTACGGCGGGCAGCGCTGACAGCTGTGGGGGGTACGGAGAGCGAGAGAGCCGTCCGCCTCCTTTCCACCAGTCCTGACGCAGCTTCTCCTTCTCCTTCTCCATCACACATTCATATAACAAGACCAACTTTGGCTTTTTGTAACATCATCTGTACCATCACCTTCTGTACTGGCTACTGTACGTCTCATCACATATAATTCGTAAGTCCCGTCCTGTCCTGTCCTGCGCTGTCCTGTCCTGTCCTGCGCTGTCCTGCGCTGTCCTGTCCTGTCCTGTCCTGCGCTGTCCTGTCCTGTCCTGTCCTGCGCTGTCCTGTCCTGTCCTGTCCTGCGCTGTCCTGCGCTGTCCTGTCCTGTCCCGTCCTGTCCTGTCCTGTCCTGCCCTGCGCTGTCCTGTCCTGTCCCGTCCTGTCCTGTCCTGCCCTGCCCTGCCCTGCCCTGTCCTGTCCTGCCCTGTCCTGCCTGCCCTGCAGAAAGGAGAGCCCCCTACCCCCCACAAGGCAGAGGAGGTCTCCATCTCACGCCTCACGCGCCGCACCGCCTGCACCGCCCCGCGAATATCTCAGCTGCTCTCCGCGCGCTTAACCCATCTAGCCAGCCAGCCAGCCAGCAGCCGGCCTCCTTGGTCATGCAAGTGCACGCAGGCGAGCAGGGCAAGGCCCAATGGCACTCACTAGCCACGCCGCCGGCTCCAGCGCGTCTGTCTGTCTGGATCTTTGAGCACGCAAGTCAGCATGGCCTGCTTCTTCCGTCGCCCGTCCCCGCCCCCTGCCCTGCTACTTTGCCTACTCTGCTACCAACTCCGTCTCAACTCCATACCTCAACATCCTCAACACCCTCAACATCCTCAACTTCCTCAACATCCTCAACATCCTCAACATCCCCCCCCCCCTTTATTCCCCCCTTCCCCCTTATTCCCCCCTTCCCGGAAAAGTCTCTCGAATCCTCCTCAAGGGTATCCCCCCCTAAAAAAGCTACCATACGCTAACCATCTCCGGTTTAGCTCATCCCTCACAGCCACTCACAACCAATTGCCCCACCTTCCCAAAAATGCCCCTCATCATCCAAAGCCTTCGACGGACATCTCGTTCCTCTCCTCTTCGTTCCCTTCTTAACAACAACTTCAAATCTATCAACACTACACGCAACTTCCACGCTTCATCCTCCAACATGGCTATCAAGACGTAAGTTACTCTCATCAATCCTCCTCATATCCCATCTTCCGCTTTTGAAGCTCCATACTGACTTTCCCCAAAAAGTTTCTTCGACGTGACTTGGGAGGGCCCAGTCCTTGACGCCTCTGGCAAGCCAACCTCGAAGGTTGCTGGTACGTGGACCTCATCAATTCCATCTCACTTCATCCTCAATCATCTCCCTCATCGACACCTACACCACTGTACCCCCGTAATTGACTCCCTCCCGACTCGCGTCGGCTCAATTCAAGCTGACAGCTTGCCTGCTGCCCAAATCTCGCTTCTTCCAACAACCCCGCAGTGACGTCGGAGCTAACATAATCACCCCGCCCCAACAGAGCAATCCGGCCGCATCAACTTCAACCTCTACGACGACGTTGTCCCCAAGACCGCAGAGAACTTCCGCGCTCTCTGCACCGGCGAGAAGGGCTTCGGCTACGCCGGCTCTGCCTTCCACCGCATCATCCCGCAATTCATGCTCCAGGGTGGTGACTTCACCCGTGGCAACGTAAGCCGAACCCCGCCACCCCCACCTCTCCCCATCGGCCCTTCCACCAAGAGACAGCTTGCTAACACCACACCAGGGCACCGGTGGCAAGTCCATCTACGGCGAGAAGTTCACCGACGAGAACTTTGTCAGGAAGCACACCAAGCCCGGACTTCTGTCCATGGCCAACGCCGGCCCAAACACGTAAGCCCATTCCTGCCTCGGCATATTTTTTTACCTTTGCGTGAGACAACACAACAACTAACACAACCCACAGCAACGGCTCCCAATTCTTCGTCACCACCGTCGTAACCAGCTGGCTCGATGGCAAGCACGTCGTCTTCGGTGAGGTCGCCGACGAGGAGTCCCTCAACATTGTCAAGGCTCTCGAGGCCACCGGCTCCGGCTCCGGAAAGGTCAACTACAACAAGAAGCCCACCATTGTCAAGTCTGGCGAGTTGTAAAGCACTCTCTTACCGGTGTGATCAAACTTATATATCCTCGCGGTGCTGGCGACGCTTGAGCGTAAAGTTTAGCTGGGTGCCGTGTGCCAGAGATGGGCGAATAACAAAAGCTTCGGATCTTTCATCAGTGGTCTTTGTTGGAATGTGATGCGTGAATTGTGATTACCGCCGTAGTCTATGAAGGTAGTAAGCATACAATGATACAGTAACTGTCATCTGTGCCATTGCTACCGACTTATTCAAGCTATGCAATCACCGCTTTCTCCGCCCACACATCGAGTCACCATAGCAGTATCTTCCTTACACATATTAGTCCTGCCATACCCGCGTCGCCCAAAAGTCTACAGATGGACTACATATAGCTCAGGATCAATATCAACAATTTAGCCTTCTCGGGTTTCCCTCCTCCCCTCTATTTCCGAGTAAACTCATATGGCAACCATAGCCCTTTAATAATTGAGAATCTTTTATTTCAGATTTATAGCTGCTGTAATCACCACTCTCACCCACAGTCCCTCTATACTTTTAAGCAGCACCAGTATTTTTACCTCAAATACACATCCCACATCGTCTCCCCCCAACCCAACCCAAAATCAGCAAATAAATCACCCCAACACCAAAAAAACGCCCCCACCACTTGATCCCAAGGTATACCCTATTAACGCCCTCCCATCCCGTCTCTCTCCCCCCCCCCTTCCCCTTCTCCTCCTCCCCCCCAATCCCCCCCCCTCCACCTAAACCCTCAAACCCTAAAACCCCCCCCCAGTCAACCACTCCTGATAATAAACACAACTACTCGCACTAACCGGCCCCCCCTCCTCGCAAAGCTCAAACACCGGACACCTCCCACACGGCGCCTCCGTCAACCCATTCCCCCTCTCCACCGCCTCCTCCCCCACAATCGCCTTCCGTACCGCCTTAAACGCTACCCCCTCTGGCCCAGCCACGACCTGCTCGATGCGGCGATCGTAGACCAACACGTCGAGGAGCGCGGAGATGTCGTCTGCGGAGAGGGTTGTCGAGGTGATGGGCGAGGACTCGATGAAGAGGGTTAGTTCGGCGAGGGAGGGGTAGCCGCGGTAGGTGGGGGGGAGGGGGAGGAGGGTTATGGTATCTCCCCCTTGCGCCGGTTTCGGTGTTGGGCGGCCTGCGATTCTCTTCAACGGCCTCCTGCTCGTGGATCTGTAAAACGACCTCGCCTCAATGTACTTATAAAGCACCCCCGTCAACCCCTCAATAAACGCCTCATCCAGCTCATTATCAGTGTACCAAGCCCCCCCGGTGGCCTTCTCGGAAGGGCGTAAGGTGGATTTGATGTACATCTTGCGGGTGGGGTGCTCGACGGATTTCATGTCTGAGATGAGGCGCTTGGTCTCGAGGGCTTTGAGGGCGGAGCGCATGAGGGATTCGTGGAGGGCGGTTTTGTTTTTGATGGTTTTGGACCAGATGCCTTCGGTGCTGGATTCGTCGATGAGGGAGTAGACCATTTCTTGTTCGTGGGTTAGGCCGCGGTATCTGGGGGGGTAAGCTTAGAAACTGCATCACCGCTAACGCACCACTGCTGGCTTCGAGGGGATTGGGGACTGGGGATTGAGGGCAGGGAGGGGAAAAGCTTACTTGAGAGCGTCCTCGAGAGGACGGTACATCCACCCCAGCTGCCCATCCCGGACCATCTTGAACAACTTCTCGTCCACGAGCCGCTGCGTCACAGCGAGCAGCAGCGCCGCGTCGCTGTCGGGTATGACTCCCATGTCGAGGATGTCCTGTTGCCGGAACACGGTTTCAAGCTCCTCGTCGAGACATTGTTCGTACACTTGGTTTTTGAGGATCTCGAGCTTCGTGTCGAGCGCGGCGGGGGGTGGGGAGGCCATTGTTGGAGTGGCCTGGTAGGCGTGAGGTGAGGTAGGTGGGTGGTGGGCGTATGAGTGTGTGTATGAGTGTGTGGCGTGGGACGAACGATTGCCGGTGTGGTTGTGGTAAGGTCGGTATGTGAAATAGCGACAGCGACGACTCTTCAACGTAGACAGGCCGCGCTTCGCAGGTCACTTGGTGGCGAGTCGAAAGTCTGGCTGGAGTTAAGATGGGAAGGCTGGCGCCGAGTGCATATTGTAGAAATATAATATTTTTGACGGGGCAATAGGTTAGGTTAGGCGAGGCGGAAAGACGAGGCTACGACGCCAGCGATTTTGGTATGGACCATGACGTCTTTCTTGGTCTTTTGCTGGGGCCGACCGAGAAAGTTAGATAATGAGACTACGATTCAATACGACGACAGCGACAGGTTTTTTGTGATCTCAGATACTGCGACTTGGGCTGTTGTGCCATGTGCCTTTTTATTAGATAAGCTTGCTGAGTAGTTGAATTGGCACAAAGGATACCACAGCCATGTCGACTCCTCCAGGAAAACGTGGGCCTTCGGTCCTGGTATGTGTTTCAGTCCCTCCATGCATTCACGACCTCGCATACATCTTCTGCCGCCCAGTATATAAGCACAAGACTAATTCAGAACCAGGTCACCGACTCCCGCGAGCGCCTCCCAGCTGCACGTCAACAGGCGCGTCCTTCGGGCGCTGCGAGCACCGCCCGCGTCCGAATGCCTACGCGTTATATATCCGTCGACAACGTCCTCCAGAACTCCTCCGAAATCCCATCCGGACAGGCGCGCTTGCCGCCTAATACTCAGACGGCGCGTCCGGGCGTGGAGCGTAGCATGTTGGCTGCGAATGTCTCCCCCGGGACGCGGACATCGCAGGTTAACATCCCCGGGCGCACGACGAAGGTTAGCGAGAAGCTCGTCCTCATCCCGGAACTGGAGGAGGGTCGAGAAATCGAGGAAGGGGTGGCGAATGGGACGTTCCGGCTTGGGTATGTGGAGGAGAGCGAGGACGAGGGACGGCCGCTGCGGAACGAGGAGCTTGATGAGCTGAGGAGGAAGGGTGCGCTGAGGGGGAAGAGCTATGCGGAGCGGCTGCCGAAGGCGAAGCGGACGGAGAAGGTGGCGAGGTGTACGGCGTATTGTACGGCGCAGGGGTTTAAGATGGCGGCGACGGCGGCGTTTGTGAAGGGGCAGCATGGGGCGAAGACGAAGTTGTATGATGATTGCCTGTATACGGTTTATCATCTGCCGCTTTTGCCGGGGAATGAGGGGTATCGGTTAAGGAGTAGTCCGATCCTGAAGCATCCGGGTGGGAAGGCGGTGCTTGATGAGGAGATTGAGAGGAGTGAGGCGAGGGTGTACCATGAGGGGTATTTTGAGGACACGGATGTGTATGGTGTTCGTGGCGGAGAGGAGAGCCCGGCAGGCGAGAGCGACGATGATAGGATAAGACGAGAGGATAAGGAGAGGCGTGGCAGAGAAGAGGAGAGAGTCGCGGCGCAGGGAAAGAGGGGCGACAGCCCAAACCGCCTCGCCCCTGACGCCACCACCTTCGCCGAGATGTTCGTCTTCTCCTACGGCGTAGTAGTCTTCTGGAATTTCACCGAGAGCCAGGAGAAGGACACCCTCGCCGACTTCACCTTCACCGAGATGGAGACGGGGCAGTCGATTATATGGCGGCCGCAGGATGAGGCGGACTTTGAGACGGAGGAGCTGCATTTCGAGTATAGCTCGTTTGTGGACAGGCCGAGAGTGTTTAATGATATGATCACGCTGAGGAGTGGAGATCATATGATTAAACTGGCGATGAGCCATGCGATTGCGCAGAGCACGAAGTTGAGCTTTTTCGAGGAGAAGATGTCGCAGACTATGCTTGATGCTCAGCATGTCCCGAAGCGCCTGGCACTGACTGGAGAACTGGGGATGTCTCGTCCTGAAGTTGTCAAGATCCTTGGGCGATTGTTCAAGAGCCGTGTTGATGTGAATCTCTGTAAGTATTTCCCTGTTGCTCTCTGGCCCCTATCAGTTGTCGAATAGCTACTGATACCCACACAGCATCCAACATTCTCGACGTCCCCAATTTCTTCTGGGACTCCGAGCCCACACTGCACCCCCTCTACTTCGCCGTCCGCGAGTACCTCGAGATCACACCCCGCATCAAGGTCCTCAACGAGCGCTGTCGAGTCTTCCTCGAGCTTGCTGAGATCCTCACTGACTCCATCTCCGATACCAAGATGAGCAATATCACATGGATCATCATCTGGCTGATCGCCGTCAGTATCGTCGTCACTGTCTCGGAAGTTGTGTTACGCTTTGGGATGTTGCAGAGTGGACGAAATACCAATATGCCTGGTGTTTGTGGTCTCGCTAGGGTTGGGGCGTATGGAGGTGGTAATAACAATTTGACGAGGATAAGAGAGAAGTTGACGGAGGATGATATGCAGCAGTTGTGCGGGATGCCTTATATCCAGACGACGTATAATGAGTTGTGAGCGGCTACCCCGCCGGGCTTGTGGTCGTCCAAAAAAAGCCCCTCAACCGACATTTGAACGCCCAAGCCCCGTCGCCAAACCATCATCACATCGCCCCTAACCCCCCTCCTGCCCGTGGCTCTTCACTCCCTCGTGGTCCAAAAAATCATCAAAAAATCATCAAAAAAGTGGCCCGATCCAGATTCGAACTGGAGTTCTCCATCGTTCCTCAATCAACCGCAGACTCGAGATATCCAAGGTGTGAGCCTGAAGGTATCCAAGATTGGTTGATCAACTGAGGGACGGAAGTCTTAACCGCTAGACCATCGGGCCTGTGGAATTAAAGGGTTCTCGGTGAGAGGGGGTATATAAGGTTAGGAGGCAGTTTTCTTTGTTCTTTTTATGCGGGGCGGCTTAGGCGGCAGGGGGCGGCATAAGCGGCGTGTATGATTAGCTAATGCGAGTTTGTGAGGAGCGTGTGGTGAGTTGTGTTGTTGTGCTCGTCGAGACTGGAGCGTGGAATAGGAGTATTGGGGATTAGGCGTTTAGCACACTGTTGTTGGGGATTATTCATTCCATAGATCACAAATTCCATTCCCTGTATCCTCTCTCACCCCCTTTATATGAAGCCCCTTTATTTAACGTACTATATCAAGCTACGATCTTTCCTACAAATTCCAATTCACAGCCTGCCCCTCCCTCCCCGAAGACTTCACATCCCACTCCCCTTTAATAACATCAATCAGCAACTTCAGCGCCTCAACCGCAAAATTAACCATATTCTCTGCCCGGTCCGCCGACCCTGTGTCTACTTCCCGCGTGAATGTGCCTTCGGGGGTTGAGACGGCGAGGGCTACGTAGCCTCTGTTTGCTTATTAGTTTCTTTTACTTCCAATCTAGGCTGCGCCGATCCAACTGGTATTCTCTGACTTCATAATAGATACGGCGGAGAGACAGGCAACTTACGGGGTTCGGTTCTTAGTTGTTCCCCCAGTGGGACCGGCGGTGCCGGACTCGCATATGGTGTATGTGCTGTCGAGTTTCGGACGGACGTTCTCTGCCATTTTGGAGACGACGCCGAGGGTTGGGCCGATGTAGGATTTGGTGTCCTCTTCTGTCCATCCGGCTAGGGGGCGTTAGCATGGTTGGGCTTGGTGGATACGATGCATAGATGGGATATCTCTGGGATCTTGATGGACTTGGGAGGTGTTCGGGGATGCAGCAAATGGGGATAGCGTGGGATTAGAGAAGACAGGTTCAATAACTTACCAAACTGCACCCGTGAAGGGAGGGTATACAACTTCTCCGATATCAGCTTTCATTCTACGTCTCACGCATCTCCCCCATCCCTCCTTCTCCTCCTCCTCCATCCATCCCCATTCCTCCCTCGGAAACCACCCGCAGCAAGGAGCCCACATACCGTCAACCCGCCCTTGTAAAATCTGCTTGCACCCGGTGTGCTCAACAATGCAGCCGAGATTATCCCTCCGGCAGCCTGCGTAACGTATCAGTATCCTTGCTTACTAAACTTGCTCGCCCTGAAACTCGCTACAATGAATGATATAGACGGAAGGGAAAAGAGGGGGACCATGTGACCGTCAAGAAGCACAGGTGGCTGCGTAACCTATGAAAGGGACTCCGGGAGGGAAATAGATCACATGAGCGGCCCGATGGGAGGATATACCGTAGTATAAATCATATACTCACCGTCTCGGCCACAGAAACAGTTTCATTGCGTCCTCGGAGGAGCTCGGCGACCTCTTCAACGAGAGGTACGAGGGACCGAGGGGGAAAAGAGGGGTTTAAGCCGAACATAGCTATGTTGTGAGATTTGATAAATAGAGTTAGTTAGAGGACTAGATGTAGAGGGGATACGAGTTTGGAGTAGAGGGGTAATTGCTTAGTAACGGGTGTGAAACCCTATGATGGTGTTGGCAGGCGTGACGTGTAAGCTTTGCGGCCCGATGCACGAGATGTGTAATATGGTATGGAGAAACAAATGCACGACGGCTTGCAATTATATTGGTTTATATCACGGGATTGTGGGGATTTGGGTGGGTTGGCACGGGTTGATACAGGTAAATGGTTGAATCGAGGTTTGTGAGCTGATTTTTTATTTTCTTTATTTATATTACTGTCTTGTTCTATGTGATATAAACGGTGTAGAGGATTGGATATATACTATTTTTAATAGATTTCGGGGGAATAATATAGAGCAGGTTTGTAGATAAAGGAAAAGAATATCAACGAAAATTTGAAAAGATTCCGAAAGCATTGGCACGGGTGGCTTGCTCTAGAATCAGGGTGCTTGCATAGCAAACTCACCGTATATCTGCTTGCAGGAATACATGTATAAATGCAGCGCCATATAGAAACACGCCAACAAGTTTGGCACACCACAACGATGTCTTCCTCTCGCTGGATCCCCCAGAGTCCCCCCCAACGAAGGAGAAGCCACATGAGCCGGCATACCTTCCTGCCTCCCATGATGTGGAGAGGTTCCATCGCTCCCGACCGCCGTTCGGTGACGGCTACGAGGGGAGGAGATGGAGGAAGGAGTTTCTTCTCCGGTCTAACCATCGGAGAGCCGAGACGACCACACGACAATAGACGAACGTCCATGAACGTGGGATATCCAAGATTTCCCAACCCCTCCGAGTACCCACCTCCCCCGGGGTATCCGTACTACGAATGGGACGAGTTTTACGATCCTCAGCCGCCGACTGGTCCACCCCATGAACATCGCCCCCGGCCAAGACGTGATTATGTTGAGCGAGAGAAAACGCACGAGGACGATGCTGCCAACTTTGACAGTGCATGCGCCAAGTTGTTTCAGCAACTGGAGCAAGCTGAACAATTCTATCAAAATTTCCAGCAGGAGTTTGATAATGAGGTCACGTCCATCAAGAAGTACGCGGGCGATGGTATTCTGAGGGAGCTGTGGTCTCGCCGAATCGGAGTCCCATCTTCTCGCCGAGACTCCATCAAGAGTGAAGAGGAGGTCAACGAGTGGGAGGACCAATTGCGGAAGCCGTATCAGAAGTTTCGAATCCAGGCGACGAAACTGGACATGTGTTTGCAAAAGGCGGCGACTGCCACGATTCCAATCCCAAAATCGAGAAAGGATGAAACAAGCGTCGACTCGGCAAAACTCCTTCAGGACAAGATCGAGACTTCTGGCGAAGGTATTCGGTGTCTTTTGGGGAAGATATACCGCTCGAGGCAATATTGCTCTGAGCTGGTGAAGGAACTAGGACAGCTGAAGGCCCTTGTTGATCCCCAGAAACCTGAAGGATTTGACGAGCAAGAAGATCGTATCGGTAGTAATGATGTTGAATATGGACCAGTGGCAGATACCGCTCCTGGCAATAGTGCTCCGAGCTGGTGAAGGAACTAGGCCAGCTGAAATCGCTCGTCCATCCCCAGAAATCTCATGAATATGACGAGCAAGGAGATGGTTTCGGTAGTAATGATGTTGAATATGGACCAGCGGAAGATCTTCAATTCTGAGGCGTGTTGATAGGGCGCGTGACTTCAATATTGATACTGCCATCTCGATCGCGGGGTCATACTAAGTTTAAAATCACAATAAATATTAGTAGTATCCCATACCTCAGTGAATACAAATCCCACGTACCTGGAAAAAAAGTGGAGCGTCGTCCCCAACAGAGTAATCAGAATCGAATTGTACCAGCTCTACAGCAACAAGTCGCCATAGAGCCAGCACGTTGCGTATTGTACTTAAGTGTCATGCCTCTATAGCCACCGAACCCCGCCATCTCCCCTCCCCTGTCGGGTCAGGCATCAGGCAGGGACACGGCGGTTCATCTGACATACACGATCTTCGCAATAGCCCTCCCATAGGAACGAACCACGCGCCCTCTTCTCTCTCTCAAGATATACAAGACGCGGGCCCGCCCTGCTTTTCTGATGCCAATTGCAGACGTGAAACACGCCAGGCCGTTACCGGCAGACCTATGCACCTTCCGAAGAAGGGAGTGAGGTGTTTTGAAGATTACTCCGAATTTCTCATATGCAAATAGAATTTGATCCGAAGATCTTCTTGACACGGAGCTTGCGCAGGTATCTGTTTGTAGCATAGAAACGCAACGTTGAGGGGGACGACGCTGAAGAGGAAAGAAAAGAGAAGAAGAGAGCTTCGCAAGCTCTGTGTAAAATATATTTTGTGACTCTGCGGCCGCGTGCCCCGCTTTGCCTCGGCTGCGGGTAAAATGACGCTAATAGGCGCCACATTAGGCTGTGACATCACGTGTGTACTCGTTGACGTGTGCATGTCTGGCGCAGCACATCAAGATCAAGGTGAAACTAAAGAATGTCTCAAGAATGCCAATTAAGGAGCTTCTGGAACCACAACATCTCTCTGCGCTGTCGGGAATTCTGAATACGATATAATTACAATTACTGAAACCTCACAATGTGTAAGCAGACCTATGCAGGGCAGAAAGACCTGAGGGAGAATGCTAACACTCTCCAGGTATCGTCTTCACATGTGGCGAACATGAGTTCTCCTCAGAGTTGAAAGGTTACGAGGGCGTCACCTGCCAATGCCACAACTGTGTAAGTTTAAACCTGAGTCCCTTGAACCCAGGACCTAGATACTCTGGAAGGGCGATCGCATTATACAATACGGAGCGTCACTGACCAGTGCGACTACAACAGGGAAACCACTCAGCGACAGTGATGAAGCGGTGGAACTGGTTCACATTCTGCTTCGTGCCCATTCTTCCGCTCTCTACACACGCCTACAAGGACGTTGTCTGTCGGATCTGCGGCTTTGCGCAACCCCTAGAGTACCTTTCCGAATCTGTTGCGGAATTGGGTGTGTGGGAATAATAGCTGACCTGTGTGGCCACTACAGGAACCGGCAAGACGTCCAACAACAACACAGAGGTGCGGGAAATGAGATGCAGCCTCAAGGCCAACCTGGACCGGGGTATAATCAACAACAGCCTGGATGGGGTCCACCACAAGGTCAACAACAGCCCGGTGCCAAGGCAAACATGACGTACGGATAGACGGGCACTTGGTGACCGAGACAAGGCATTTCCTGGCCAATCTTTTCATAGTACAAGATTGGCCAAGATATGCATTTGTGGGGGAGGAGGGTCAATTCAAGTAAGGCGTTTTGGGTTGGGATTCCATAGGGCTGGGAAGGCCATTGGTTTTTTGCGAGGGGACAAGACAATACCAATGTTGTCGTCGTTTCCAGGCTCATGATTTTGAGTTGGGTACACGCGCCGTACCTTGGCAGTTTCTTCCGCCGGTGTGTGCCACGCCGTGTACTATAATAATATCTGAATGTCTTATTCCTTGGGGGGGCTCCATCACTATCCTCATGGTCTCCATCCGCATGGCTTATATGGGGGGGAAACCGGTATATGTACCGCATCCTGCAGCTCCATTGATTGCTACATAACAATCTCCCGTGCTCCTCCGACCCCAGAGCTCCAATTAAGAATCGGCAACCTTGCCATCTCTCCACATGGCGGCCGGCAATGGCTTCGTTGATAAGAGCTCATGTTTTCTAGCTCCCGACCCTTATCTCAACCATGGGCTAACTTAGATGTGGGGGTCCAGGGGGTGTCTCTTATCATTGCACCACGACCGCCCCACGGCCGCCGTGCACACGTAAGCAGCACCTCCCCGAGCAGAAAAACTCAACTATCTCCTGATGGACTGACTCCTTATCATTTATCAACGCCTCCATTCCAGCCACCTCGGTTTTCACGTGTCATCAACATAAGATAATCCTACCAATGCCAGTTGTCACAAATATCATTACGGCGTCTTTGGCTTATCCCGGAGTTGGCCGCTATAGTTATACGGTCCCACCCGATATATGCTGCTCAGTACCCCCTTTCAACTTTCATGTTGCACCTTACCCCATATCTCAGAAGGGCAGATGGCAGATTCACCTATCTACCATGCCATCTTTGCCCATATCGTGGCCGATGCCGGCCCCATTGACTCGTGGGTAGGCCATGGGTTAGGCTTGACTATCTTCTTTCTTTCTGGGGTTCACCAGATCTTATCTCATAGCTTCAATAGCTATGACTGACGCAGGTTTCATTGGACAGTTGCATTTTGATACCATGTAGGTTTTTCGTTCATATATCAGTGTCTCAGCCCAGCTGGTGTACAAGGCTTTTTTTATTTTCTCTTTGTCGTCACCCTTGAAGATATCACATCTCGCCGTCTTCAGATTCTCACGTGAAGCTCGAGATGGACGCAAACCACATAACCATCCCCCACCCTTTGGGTCAAGCATGGGGCTATGGGATTATCCTTGGTAAGGCTTTATTATGTCTTTCTGTCTACTTCACACTCTAATACCAGCGGTTTCTAGGTCTCGGTTCCCTATTCGCCCTTGGGATGGTGCTTGTAACCTGGATCCTCAAGCGCTACAACCATGAAGTTCAAACTTCCGAAATGTTCAGCACCGCCGGAAGAACAGTAAAATCGGGATTGGTAGCCTCTGCGGTTGTATCGAGTTGGACCTGGGCCGCGACATTACTCCAGAGCTCCAGTATGGCATACAAGTACGGGGTCTCTGGGCCATTCTGGTATGCCGCTGGCGCAACAGTGCAGATCATTTTATTTGCTACTCTCGCCATTGAGTTGAAGCGCCGTTCCCCCAATGCTCATGTGAGTACTTTGTTGTTCTCCTTCATATCAGCGTACTGAGTATCCCGAACAGACTTTCCTCGAAGTTATCAAGGCACGCTACGGCATGACCACGCATTTGGTCTTCGTTACCTTCGGCCTCTTCACAAACATCTTGGTCACAGCCATGCTCTTGACCGGCGGATCTTCAGCATTCACAGCCTTAACCGGTATTTCGACCCCGGCAGCATGCTTCCTGCTCCCGTTAGGAGTCATTGTCTACACCATGTTCGGCGGCATGAAAGCCACATTCTTGACAGACTATGTTCATACCGTGATGCTTCTAATCATCATTCTAATTTTTGCATTTACTGCCTATGCTACCAACCACATCATCGGCTCTCCAGGCGCAGTTTTTGACGCCCTTGTTGCCGCCACAGAACGTCACCCAGTCGAGGGGAACGCAGGAGGCAGCTACCTCACCATGAGGTCCAAAGAAGGTGCCATCTTCTTCGTCATCAACATCATCGGAAACTTTGGAACTGTGTTTTTGGACAACGTGTACTACAACCGAGGCATTGCAGCTTCCCCGGTCTCCGCCTTGCCCGGATATATTATGGGCGGGCTGTCATGGTTTGCGATCCCATGGCTTTGCGCTACGACAATGGGTCTCTCGGCACTTGCACTCGAGAACCATTCCGTCTTCCCAACTTTTCCCGAGCGCATGTCGGCAGCTGATGTCTCCGCCGGTCTCGTGCTCCCATATGCCTCTGTGGCTCTCTTGGGCAGTGGCGGAGCAGTGTGTGCCCTGCTTCTCATTTTCATGGCCGTTACCTCCGCAACCTCTGCCGAGCTAATCGCGGTCTCGACTATTTTCACTTACGACATCTATCAGACCTATATCAAGCCTGGTGCATCCAGCCGCAGCCTAATCTACATGTCCCACGTCATGGTTGCCTGCTTCGGCCTCGTCATGGCTGCGTTCTCGACAGGTCTTTACTACGCCGGTATATCAATGGGCTTCCTCTACCTCGTGATGGGAGTGATCATCTCCGCCGCCGTCCTCCCCGCCACCCTCACTCTACTCTGGAGCAAACAGAACAAATGGGCCGCTATGCTCTCCCCTCCTCTCGGCCTAGTCTGCGCACTGATCGCCTGGCTCGTCACCTGCCAAAAGATGTTCGGCGAACTCACCGTCGAGACTCTCGGCTCCAACTACCCCATGCTAGCCGGGAACGTGGTCGCCCTCCTCTCCCCCGCCATCTTCATCCCAGTCCTCACTTTTGGGCTTGGCGCAGATAACTATGATTGGGTGTCCATGGGGGAGATCCAGCGGAGCGACGATCACGAGATCGCGGAGGCGTCTGGAGTCGATCTTGAACTTGTCCCTGGAGAAGCTGTCATCACTGCGGAGCAGCTGGCCGAAGAACAGCGGGTGCTTCTCCGCGCGTCCAAGATCGCGAAGGTAGCCACCATCGCGATGACGCTAGGCTTCCTCGTCCTCTTCCCCTTCCCAATGTACGGCTCCTCGTACGTCTTCAGCAAGCCGTTCTTCACTGGTTGGGTGGTCGTGGGGATCATCTGGATCTTCTGCTCGCTATTCTGTGTTGGGATATATCCGCTCTGGGAGGGGAGGCATAGTATGGCGCATACATTTAAGGCGCTGTATCTGGATGCGACGGGGAAGCAGCACCCGAGTAAGCATCATGCGCATGGGGCTATGATGGTGGAGGATGAGAATAGTAGTGGGTCTGAGACGCCGCCGGAGAAGAAGGATTTGAGTGTTAGTGTGAGCGAGTCGTGAGGTTTGTTCGGGGAGGGAGTTATATATATCAGGAGTCTTATCTTCCACTGTCGTTTTAATATAGGTTAAAAAGTCCGAAGTTCTGATCCAACCCGTTCAACCCCAGAAGATACAGCGTGCATCGCATAACTTTACAGGGCCCCGATACCATATAAAAACACCAGCCGCAGTGAGTTCGAACTTCAAGATGAGAACGGCGTTAGAGTGCCGGACGAGGAACCATACCGAGTAGAGGCGGCATCAGAGTTATACAAAGGTGTCGTCTCCAACTCTATATGGTTTACAACAGTCCTTTTCCAATGAGAAGCAAATCGACAACCCCCCCCCCCCCAAAAAAACAACGGTGACAAACCCACACCGACAAGAAACCCCCTACCGGCGAGAACCCCTTAACAACAGCATAACCCAAACAACAACAACAATACCCCCCGAAACCCTCTTTCCACTGTCAAACATCAACCCCTCCACCACGCTTCGGCTCCACCACCATAAATCATGCTCGAATTGGGGCATACACCCCTGGAATTTTCCGACGGAATTCGCAGGCTCCTTGGGTTGGTATATGTCGTCGAAGGAGGGCGTTTTATAGTGGTTTTGAGGCTGGGGCGGGGTGTTGGTTTGGTGGGGGGATGGAGGCGGGGGAGAAGGGGGGGGTGACCTTTGGTGTGATTTTCTCGTTGTGTGAGGTTTTATGGGTTTTTTTGGTGTGAGGAGGAGGGGGGAGAGGGCTTCAGGTGGGATGGGGTTGTTTGGACTTGTTTCAACTTGTATGGGATGGAGGAGGGTTGGGGTGTGTGGGTGGGAGTTGTTGGCCGATATAAGAGTGGGATTTTGAACACCCATACACACATCCAGCACATCCAGCTCACCTTCCCGAGACATCAGGCCCGTGTCGCGCAAAGTAAGGTAGAGAAAAAAGGTATATAACAGTCCGAAAAAGCACGCAAAGACCGAACTCGATGAAACCTCGGAGAGTACCTTCTCCCAATCAACGATCCCGATTCTTTTGAACGGGAAAGAGAAGTGCCGTGAGCCCAATCAAGCTCCCCGAGTCTGTTGTGAACCCTTCTGGTTTGAGGTGGTGGGGGGGTCTGTCACCGTTGCGCTGCTGCTGTCATTCCATTCCTTGCTGTCAACACCCCACTGCCACCGCCATGGTCAGAATCTCATTCGCAAGTTGTTCCCCTTAACGAGCATCACATCCCAGCCCAGTCCTCTCGATTGTTCTACTCCCTAGAGGCGCTCGATATGGACTCTCCTATATAGTGATCAACAATGGCTGTCTAAATGCAGGATAATCGTATCTTCCATGAAAGTCGCTATTTAAATAGGCTTGTCTTGGGTTCGGGGGTCTACCTTTGAGAATATTCAAGTGCTGGGAAAGACTAATCCTCCGATCCGTCTCCTTCATCCCCCAGACCATTACCGTGATTTTGACAAGGTTTCCCAGCACGCCACAGACCCGTCCGCTGTGTTCCTCGTCCATGTAGTAGAGTAAGAATGAGGGATTCCATATATAATACCGAGAGTATAGGATTTGAAAGAACTCACACACTGGCCCCTGAGTTAGCAGTCACCCGCACAAGCACCCTGCATTGCAAACCCCCATTGTACAATATTATTATGCGTTGACACTCCTATCGGTAAATATTTGCCTGCAGTCTATCCCGCATGCTTCCTCCCCCCCAACATATCCCATCCAGCGGCTTCCCAGTACCAGCCGAATATAAACTTCCCAAACGGCCCAGCCCTATCATGCAATTTCCCGACTAGCCCCATATGGATTCTGACCTCCCCGAGAAAATTACAATTTTAACCCATGCAAAAAAAGCACCGGTATCAAACTCCTGGAATGCAAGTAAAACCCACCGTTTCCTCTCCATATTACAAATTCCCCCCAGCAAGGCCTCAAGAGCCAAAGCTGGGCGCAGCCACGGCCCCAAAGCCGTGATCCATCCCGCCATCCTCCGACTTCATCGTCCCGTTCAGCATTGGACACAACTTCTTGTTCGTCTTGATGTGACCCGCCTGTCCGCAATTAGCACACTTCCTCAACGTCCCCTTTGGCGTGGCATCGGTTGACGCCGGGGTAGCGCTGGGGGAACCAGCATCTGCGGTGCCCTCTGGGCCTCGGAATATGCCCTTCTGCTTTTCGCGCGCGTGGCGACGCTCCTTGTTGCGTTCGAGACGCGCGAGTTCTTTGCGAACACTGGATATACAATTAGTACACGCCGCAGAAAATAATACAGGGTTAAATCATACCGTTGGGCTTCCTTCTTGTCCCACTCTGGATCGCCAGTAGGCTTAACGTCGTAAACATTATGCCCATCTGCGTCCAGAGCGTGGCGGCGCTTGACGTATTCCCTCCAAACTCGCGGATCCGACACAATTTCCTCAACTTCCTCCGGCTGATTCCATTTATTTCGAATGGTGCGGACGATGCGATGGGCCTTGCCGGCATGGTGGCTGCTTGTGCTAAACCTGCTGATCTGACTCACAGAGTCGTCGAAATTCGCTGGCGTGGTTGCCGAGTGCGGAGTAGCGTTTCTTCCATACGGTTGCTCCATCTCAAGCGGATGGTCTAGTTCCATTTCACTGCCAGCATGCTCTGCGGTATCGGAGAGGTTGGCCTTTTGCTTCTCCCAGATGCCCTTGATGGCCCGCGTATATATCTCGTTTTGCTTGTCAACGTTGTACTTGTGGCCACCATTTGCTTTGCGCTCACGAGCGATAGCATCCTCCGTAGTTGCCTGAGGGCCTTGAATGGTATCAAGATATCCTCCTTTCATGGACGTCTTAATGAAACTGAATGCCAGTCCACAGCCAGTTGGGTCGCCCTCGCCATGGAGCTGCAGCATAGCCTTTCCTGCTGCCGCATCCAAGAAATTCTTGCTGGTCTTCCAAGGCGCAAGGAGCTGCTCCAAACTATCGCCCTCTTGTTCCTCTTCGGAGCCGTCGTCCCGGTTGTCCCTACCATAACCTGCATCTTCCAAGTGTCTCAGGCCAACTTGCATAGCGTCAATGGTGCAGACGTCTTCAGGCTTGACCCAAGAGCGGACTGTGGTCTCATCTGGAATAACGTCTCCTGGCTTGACCCGCCAAACCTTTTCATCCTTGTAATACTTGATGAACTCCTTCAGCTTTTGCCTATTCTGCATATCGCTGGAATCAGTAATATGAGAGGTGATCTCATCGATCCTCACGGTGTTGGCGGGGTTATGGCGGATTTTTCTGAACGCAATCATCTTCATGCGGCTCTTCGAGGCATTAGTAACCTTTCTAGACTGCGGACCAGGAATCTCCATCGAAGGCAATTGCTGTCCGACAGCATAGATATTGTCAATGTTGCGAATGTGCCAAGAAGTTCCATTTACTCCGGTTGTGTTTCGGATGACCAGGAAATCCGTGTTCTTCGGCTCCTGCTTGAAGACAGGGGCACGGAACATGGCGTTGTGGAGCGTAGGCACGGTCTCTCCAGGTTCAACGGTGCCGAACTGCGCAAACGGCGACCTATCCTCGGGCATAAGCACACTTGTCTCTCCGATTTCGTTCTTTGGCCTCAACGCGTCGTCAGCGTCTTTGCGCCGGTAGTAGTTGATGATTCTGTTGCCCATTCCGAAATTGGACAGAACCGTCGGGTGCTCTTCCGAGTACTCGAGAAGCATAGCAGTCGAGTTATCTGCCAGTGACAGATCCTTGGACTCCTTGAAAATTTCCTGGGTAGATAATCCCTTCATGTGCTTCCTCTTGCGTTGCGCAGGCTTCGAGAAATAAATGACGTGGTTCATGAACTTTCCAAACTTCAACGAGGGTCTGTGGTAAGAACGCGCCTCTTTGGTATAAAGCTTCACTCTGTAGTATGGCCACTGCAACTTCAGAGCCGGCAAACTATGTTCGACTGTGATGCTGCCAATTAAGGCACGGACCTTGTTCTGGTGGTTCTCCTTAAGAGCATCATAAGCTTCATCGTTAGATATGTTGAAGCGTTGCGACAAGCTCTTCGACACGTTGCCGCTTCCTCCACGTTTGAAACTACCACCAAGGCGCAACTGCCTATCCGTTTGGCTTGGCTGATGCACATCGACAAGGAGGTGAGGATCGTTGAGGTCGAGCATGACACGCTTCGCAACACGCGCCGTGGCACGCTCAAAATCATCGAAGGAAGGCACCGCAAAGGACGGCATTTTAAGAATGTCAATCTCCTTCGGTTTCGACGTTTTCTGGCGTTTCTCTGGGTGCATCTCCATATCCCTGAACCACTCATCGTCCGCATCATCCCAGGTAACTTCAGGAGCCTGGCGTTCTTCGACCTCGGGTGAGGAAGCCTCGATTCTCGATTCCCAATCATCACAAATGACTTGCAAGTCAGCCCAGCTTATGCCTCCAATCTCCTCATCCGGTGGCGGCGTATCCCAGTCGAAGCCATCTTCGGATGTTGCTTCGTCCGACTCCTCCTCCAATATCGGGATAATGCCTTTGGCCACCGACTCCTGGATCCTCTGTAATTTGTTGGGATGCGATGCCCCTGCGACGCGAAAGCTCTTCTCCTGCTCCGGCGCGAGATCCAAACTGACTCTTGTCGGGTTGACTGGCTTTGGCGGCTTGATAGGTTGTTTGGGGATGTAGTGTGCCTTCTTGGGCGGAAGCAACTCATTCCAGTTGATGGTGACACCTTGCTCAAACGTAGGCCATGCCTGCTTCACCAACTCCTCCTCAGTCTCCGCGGGGGCTGGGATGGAAAGATCTTGGTTCGCCTCATCGGATGGTTTCGGTTCTTGGTCGAAGCTCATAGACGGAAATTCGGTAGATTTATCCAGAGACGGCAGTGATGAAGGCAGAGTCAGGCGACTACCTATGCTTTGAGTAGTTTGCGAATCGTCGAGCTGCTTGATTTGAACCCCATTATGCCTGTCCACCCCTTCGAAAGGCGACGAACCGCGAAGCTCTCCGAAAAGATCATCGGTATCATGGCTGGTTCTTCCATCATCCGTCAGGCCCGGCAGATCAGCGCCAGCTCCATTTGTCGCTTCCTCCTCGTCGGGTAGGTCGTCGTCGCTGATGTCTTCGAAGTCCTCCGCGTCATCAGCCTTCTCGCCAACCTCCAGCGGCCTGTCGAGGTTCAAGGCTCCCTGGTCATCTGGGTTCTCCTGGTTCAAGAGAAAGCGCTGCAGTATCTTGTCATCTTCAGCCGCCTGCTTGTCCCAGTCCACATCTTCCAGCGACATCGTTGCGGTCGCGGTCGGTCCCTGAGTCCGTTGTGGCGTGCGCAAGATCAGAGACGCTGTCCCTTTGTCGCGCTTTCGGGTGTAGCTATCTCATCGGGGTATTCTGGTCATCGACACGAGCTGGGTGTTGGGTTCTTGGTATCGTAGGAATACGCGCAGAGCGACCTATGTCTGTGGTGGCGAGCTTGGCTTCATTTAGAGGTGAATCTGCTGATGTAGTTGTGAAGTTCCAACTCGGGTTGCTCGCGCCAACCCCAGCCACTAGCGCGATCGAATAGCGGAGTCAGACTACAAGTCACGTGGCCTCTGTCTAGATTATAACGTCGGAATCTCTAACACTACTTTCTAGTATTGAAGCATGATATAAAATATATGAAGTCTGTATAAATAATTGAGAGGTGGGATCAGTATTTTTTATTAGGTTTTGGAGGGTTGATGTCTCGAATTTTTTATATTCTCATGCAATGAATTATAAGTTATAACAATTAAATAATTATCCCTCATATTAGGATGAGAACTATTATATCAAGACCCACAAAATTGAGCTTATAGGTACCCCAAGAATTTCTCATAAGCTTGATAATTAATCACCTTCACATATATATTATTATTTCGCTACTATAACCCCACCTCACCTCCATCCCACTCGCACCCAAGCTTCACTATTCTCGCGACCATTTTCCTCAAAAACACCCACTGAACACCTCCCCCACCTCCAGAGCCATGGCAACCTCATCCCTCGAAGCGCTGGAAGCACAGCGCCAGAAACTCGTAAAGCAATTCGTCAGGACCAACCTCAATGGTGCCCCCGTCCCCTCCGCAATCCTCGACCTTTCCAAAGTGAAACGAAACTGCACCCGCATGCTCGAGTCCATCGACGCCCTCGGATTCGGGTGGAGAGCGCATATCAAGACACACAAGGTCCCGCAACCCCCCTCCCCCCTGAACCCCCAACTAACCCCCTCCCAGACCACCGAGCTCACCCTCCTCCAGCTCGGCCCCCCCCCCCGCCCCGCCCACCTCATAACATCCACCCTCACCGAAGCGGAGAACATCCTCCCCCTCCTCCTCACCTACCCCCCCACCTCCCGCTCCCTCCTCTACGGCCTACTCCCCGCCCCCTCCTACGCCCCCCGCCTTGCCTCTCTCTCCACCTCCCTCGGCCCCTATGGATTACACATCCTCCTCGACCATCCCTCTCAAGTAGGTGTGCTGCGGAGCATCTATGAGCTGTCCGGCACGGCGGTGGGTGTGAGTATTAAGATTGAGATGGGCTACCAGCGTTCTGGCATCTTAGCTTCGTCGGATTTGTTCAAGGAGTTGGTGGCTGCGTTGCTGCCGCTGACTGAGGAGGGGAAGTGTAAGATTGTGGGGTTTTACTCGCATGCGGGGCATTCGTATGCTGGCTCTGATCCGGCGACGGCTATTAGTCTTCTCAATGACGAACTCCGCGCTCTTCTAGATGCTGCGAAGGAACTTCGTGAGTTGGCGCCGTCGAGCACGCTTACTTTCTCAGTTGGCGCGACGCCAACCACGACAGCAGTGTATAACCTCCTGCACCCCTCCTCCACCCCCTCCACCGCCGAGGCCACCGCGCTCGCATCCCTTCAATCCACCATCGACTTGGTGAAAACCGCAGATGCACAGATCGAACTCCACGCTGGCGTCTACCCCGTCCTCGACATGCAACAACTCGCCACCTCCGCGCTACCCCCCTCCCTGCTCTCCACCTCCTGCATCGCCCTAACCATCCTCGCCGAAGTAGCCTCCATCTACCCCACCCGCAACACCGGGGAAGCATTAATCACAGCCGGTTCCATCGCCCTAGGTCGGGAAAAATGCAAATCCTACGACGGATGGGGCGTTGTCTCCCCCTGGGGCGCGGTGGGGGGGGAGGGATGGGTGGTGGGGAGTGTGAGCCAGGAGCATGGGGTTTTGAAGTGGACTGGGGAGGAGGGGAGGGGGAACGGGTTGGAGGTGGGGGGGCGAGTGAGGGTTTGGCCAAATCATGCGTGTATTGCTGGGACGGGGTTTGATTGGTATTTGGTTGTTGATTCGGAAGGGGAGAGGGAGGGGGATGTGGTTGTTGATGTTTGGATGAGGTGGAGGGGGTGGTGATGTGGAAGGGACCTAGGAGGGCGATGTAGGTATGGGTAGAATCATGTAAACGGTTTGGTAGAGAATAACAAGCAGAGTTGAAAAATCCTGAATTCCTCGCACACAAACGGAGCTGAGCATCACCATCTATCCTACCCCCCCCCCCAAAAAAAAAACGCCAAATCCCCAAGTTCTAGACCCCTCGGGTTCCATATCCCCCATCGTAATCATAATCATAACCATCATAACCCACCCTTTCACCCCATCCCCCCTCCCCACCCCGCCCCTATCGCTTCCCCCCCAACCTCCTCTCCATCCTCGCATCCGTCTCCGAATCCGCCCTCTCCCTCTCCCACCTCCTCTCCCTCTCCCTCTCCCTCGCCCTCTCCTCATGACTCACACTCCTCCTCTCCCTCTTCCCAAATTCCTCTCTTCGATACTTTTCCCTCCCTCCCATCCCCCCTGCCCCAAAACCACCACCACCACCGACGGCGGGGGGCGCATCCGGCGCAACAGGAGGCTCCTTAACCCCCCCCCTGAGGGGAATATCAATATCCACTAAATCCCTCCACCTCACATTCGCCCCCCCGCCGCGGGACTCGCTACGCCACGCATTCGGGTAGGAAGGAGCGAAGGGGCTTGCGGCGCCCAACTTCCCAGCTGGAGGGGGGTCGACGGCGATTTTGTAGGTTGCAATTTTTGGCCCCGCACCCCCAGCATGACGAAAATTCGGCATCGATAGCCCGCGATTGCGGTGATCTTGGCGGAGTTTCTCGTTCTGGAGACCCCCGCCCAAACCACCACCACCACCACCACCACCGACGGCAGCGGCCGCGGCGGAAGCAGCTGCGGCGGAAGCAGCTGCGGCGACGGGGTCGGGGTGCGGACTTGGCGACGCGGAGTAGCGTCCTGCGAAGGGGGCGGCGGTGGGTTTAGCGTTGCGCCTCGGTTTCCCCTGCTGCTGCGGAGGTGGCTGAGGCTGCGGTTGGTCCTTCGACTTCGACGCCCTGCTCGCACTATACAACGGACTAGTCGGCAGATCAGTCGTCAGGCTCTCCGAGCTCGAACTCCACGAACTACTCGAACTACTCGAACTACTCCTTTCCCTTCTATGTCTCGGATGACTATGCCTCCTCCTCCCCGGCCCACCATTATGCGGTCTCAACCCCTCTGGCTGGGGGACATCAGAGGCGTATTTTGGAGGTCGGCTGGAGGTGGGGATGTTACGGTAGTAGTCCCTTGGCACGGAACGGCGGCGGCCGCGCGCGGCTTCGTATTCGAGTGGTGGAGTGGCCGGGCGGGGGGTGGGTGGGGGGTCACGGGGGTTGGTGGGGGCGTGTGTGCCGCTGCGTGTGGGTTTTTGGCGGCGCGGGTGCTGCTCGGGTTTGGGGTTGAAGTTATCTGTGCCTCTAGGGCTGTCGCGCGGGATAGAGGTAGCGGGGTGGGTATGCGACGCCTTCACGTAAGGGGACTGATGTCTCGAGTCCGCCGTATGATTCGGTTGACCCCGAGGCCTCTCATCCGCCGCCGAATCCCTCCGCAGCCTCTCAGCGCACTTATTATGCCATTTCTCGATAGCGGCGTCGGGCTCCTGGGGCAGGCAGGAGGCGGGGAGGTCGGCGGGGAAGCGGTCTCCCGTCTCCGGGATGAGGATGGGGAAGTCGTGGACGGCGCGCTGGAGGAAGGGCACGTGCCCGGAGGGGTCGAGGAGGATCTCGATGGTTTGCCAGCGGACGAAGCCGCGGGTTGTGAGGGCGGGGATGGTGGGGGCGTGGAAGTCGTCGTCGGTGGGTTGGAGGGTGTGTTGGCAGCCTATGGATTGGTAGATGAATGATATTTGGGGGTTTGGGAGGTCGATGAAGACAGCTGCGAGGTAGGAGTCAGTTCAAGCTATACAGACAGTTCAAGGCAGATGCGCTCTCTTACAGTCGTAGTTCCCACCGACGGCTTTGTAGAACGCCGCCAGCTTTGGCGGGGTAAGACACTTTGTGTCCTTGTCCCCGAGATTCTTGACCTTTTCCACACTGTCAGAACGGCGCACTGGCAACAGCAGCGGGCCTATGGCGCATCTTCCTAGGCGCTACATACAATATATTTTGCGATCCCCGTGAGCAGCGCAACCATGACCCTCGAGGGCTTCTTGTCGCTGTCAAGGAGATCGCCGTAGTACGCCGCCGCGTCTTGTGGTTGCGCCATGGTGGGACTGAGCAGAGCACGAGAGCGAGGGCGCGGTTTGGTGGATAGGCATCGACGTGTGTGTGGTGAGTGAGAGGATGAATACAGATGCAGGAGGAGGGATAGTAGGTAGTATGTGAAAACGCCAACTCATGCAGATGCAGTTCAGTTAGGTAGAGGTAGAGGTAGAGGTAGAGGTAGAGGTAGAGGTAGAGGTAGAGGTAGAGGTCGAGGTCGAGGTCGAGGAGGTAGAGGTGTAGAGCGGGACAACGACCAGGCCAGGACCAGGTTAAACACGTCGGGCCGGTTCAGGTCAGTCCGTTTGTTGGCGCCCAATATGAGTTGTGGATCAGCTTTGGCACCTCCCTGATGTCAGTGTAGGTTAATATTCCAGCTCTTTAGCCGTGTTTTGCGAACGATATTTGCAAAACAATAACTATCCAGATTTATCTTCATTCCTCCCTTCATTTGTCGCTGTTGATCCCCGCATCCGTCTTAACTTATAGGTACTTCATGACAGATCCCATCGCTCCCGTACGCTCCCGCCGCTACCTGGATAGTTTTGGGGAAAGTAGGCGGCAGAAGACCCCACGAAACCACCAGACTACCACTAACTTACCAACCAAAAATTGAAAATAGTTCCACCATTATTATGCCAATTCATCTAAATCACCATCACACATCTCCTCTTCACTACCATCAATTAAATCACCATCACACATCTCCTCTTCACTACTATCATCAATTAAATCAATTATAGATGTTGTAGCTTATGGCGTTGTTGATATTTTCGACTTTTGGGATGTAGCTGTTGTTCTGCTTCTGCTTCTGCTTCTGCTTCTGCTTCTGCTGCTGCTTCTGCTTCTGCTTCTGCTTCTGCTTCTGCTTCTGCTACTTGCGACATCAACTCCTTGGTAGAGATGTGGAATTGACCCTTTAAAACTGCTCTTTTGCCCTTATTCTGTTCTCTGCGCTTCTGTCTTTGCTGTAGTATGTGGCGTGTATTAAGAATGCCACGACTTATGAATGCCACGACTTATTGTAGAAGAGAGCACTGTATTTGCTTTCTAAAGTGTCTGAAAATCAGGAGGGCTGCTAATATTGCTGCTGTTTTTGACGCGCTTCTTGCCTTGATGGCCGTTGTTGGCTAACACGCATACTAACAGTACTACGGCTCAACCCTAAGGCCTTAGCAGCCTCATATGATGATTTATACTTCTTATTTTGGATGCCTAAGATAGCTTCAGCTAATAGAGCTTCTAATTCCTCTGATTTTCGACTTTTTTTGCGTACCATAATTGATTGATAGGTGTGTTAGGTGACTACTCCGATTTGGTGGCATCCGTCCCGTTACGCCACGACCTACGTTACCTGTGGCTTTCCGTGTCAATGGCGTTCAGTAGCAATACATTATAGATATAAAATGTTTGTATTTCTCATCGGATTCTTTTCCCGTCACTCTGAATCTGGACTCCTGGCAAAATTTACATATCAACCCCCCCCCCCCCCCCCCCCCCGGCAAAACGCCCCCTTCCCTCCCTATCACTAGCGACCAAGCATCCCCCCTCTCCCCCGTCCCCTCTTCTTCTGCGACCTCGAGCCCGCTCCCTCTCTCAACTCCCAATCCTCATCCTCCATATCAACATCCATATCTCCCCCCCTCGCCCTCCCACTCCCCTCCCCAAACCCCATAAACCCCCTCTTCGCACGGGGCGCCTTACCGCCCCTCCCAACCCTCCTCCCATGGGGCCTCTCTCCCTTCGCCTCACCAGCCTCATCCCCCTTCTCGACCAACCCCCCTACATATCCCTCCCACTCAACCTCTTCCTTATGCCTCCTCAACGCCCCAGCCTTGATGCTCGCAACTTGTTTCTCTAGGCCCTCCAGTGCGGCGCTGCACCGCCCTGCCCACTCCTCCAGCGTGTCGATCAACACTGGTATCTGTGCCGGCTCGACATCCCGCAGCGGTGCTACAGATGACACTGCTACGAGCCCATCATGCGGATTCAGCGTAGCGCTCAACAGCCCTTCATAGATAGCAGTCGTAACAAGAGTCTCCAGCTCGCGTGCATCACTGAATCCCAGGAGCTCGATCAACCTGGCATAGGCCAGATTCTTCGGATCGCGCGCATGCGTAAGCAGCGAGAGCTGACGCAACTTCTGCACCTGGACCGGCGTCAAAGGCGGCAGCGTATCCGCGGAAGAAGTATAGTCGTTGTAGGTGCCATAACAAAAATGGGTGAGGAGCTGGAAGTGCGGGGCCGTGGCGGGGGAGGAGCGGAGGGCTTGGATGGGGGGCGTGGAGAGGAGGGGCGAGAAGATGAAGGTGTTTGGGGCAGAGGTGGCGCGCTGGATGAGGTCGATTGCGGCGGTGGGGGAGGTGGCGGATTTGGAGAGGGCGAGGAAGGGCTGCGGTGGGCTGTTAGCTGGGGGTTAAGGGGGGGAGGTGGGGAGATGGGGAAATGGGGAAATGCTGGCTGGGGTGATGTACCTCGAGAGCGTTCAGGGCTTTGGTTTGCTCCATGGTGGCTGGGTGGTTGTGGTTGTGGATGGATCAGTGGTGGTGGTGATGGAGGGGGTAGCTCCAGGTAGCTCCATCCAGGTCCGTTCCAGCGTCGTCGTCGTCGCCGTCGTCGTCGTCGTCGTCGAAGAAGAAGTTCAGATGAAGGATGCTGAGCTCGATCGGACTTGGCAAGTCGAAACAGTGAGAAACGAAGTCGAAACAAGAAACAAGGTTGTTTGGCGTTTGTGGTGTGGTGTGGTGTTTGGGTGTTTGAGGGTTGGTCGGAAGTCTCAGGGCGAAGGAGAAAGTTAGTGGTTAGAGTGGCTAGAGTACGTTAGTGGCTAGAGTTAGTGGGTAAGTTAGTGGCTAGAGTTAGTGGGTAAGTTAGTGGCTACTGTAGAGTTAGTGGCTAGAGTTAGTGGCTAGAGTACGTTAAGTTAGTGGCTACGGAGTACGGAGAGTTTGCTTATTGCTTATTATTGTAGTATAAGTTACATACAGCACTACAGCACTATGTCGACATCCATCGTCACTTCCTGAGATGCCGTTCAAAAAGAGTATAGGATGAGCAGCCACCTATGCCTCTCTAGACCGCTAACTAGAGACTTCATAATTCCTATAGCTCGACACTCCTAAGCCAACTTCCTAATTCCAACTTCCTAATTCCAACTTCCTAATTCCAACTTCCTAATTCCTAATTCCTCGCTTTATCCACTAGTCCTGTACGCCACGCAATGGTTGATCGTACCCGTCCACTCTCTAACCCTGCTACCTCGTTTCAAGTACCATCGCACACCATTTTAGCCTGGTTAGTACCCCCGACGCGTGTACCCCAACTAACCTTGCTTACTCCCTACTGAAGATCCAGTTGTACCAGGCCAAGTGCCCAGTGCTAAAAAGTCCCCCCCACCGCCCCCCCCACCCCCCCCCCCACACCCCCAACAAGCAACCAAGCAACCAAACAACCAAGTGTCCACTCCAACTCCTCTCCTCGCCCACCATCAATTCCCTCTTGTCTTTCCACTCCGATGATATGATGGTATAGATCTGGAAGGATACCTGTACAGACTATTGGCATCACTACAGGAGCTGGCCTTCTGCCTAGACCACCGGTCGCTATAGAATTGTGAGACATCCCACCTCCAGTTCCGAGCTGAACTGAATCACAATGCGCTTCGTGGCAGGAAGCCCAAGAATGACCTCTCTGACCTTTCTTCTAGTAATTAACCAAAAATAACAATACCCAGTCCACCACGGACACACAACACATTGCGAGCGAACATACCCCGAATACCCTGCCACCATGGCTCCCACATACACTCCCGTCGCATCCGACGACACCGACGACACTGTCGAGACCCTCTTCGCCGCACCTCCACAGCTCGCCGTCACCACGCTCCGGTGCGGGGGTATGACATGCGGCGCATGCACATCTGCAGTCGAAGCCGGGGTAGAGGGGCTACCCGGCGTCCAGAGCGTCTCCGTCAGCCTCATCATGGAGAGGGTCGTGGTGAACCACGACCCGTCGAAAACATCAGCGGAGCAAATTGCAGAGGCTATTGAGGACCGCGGCTTCGATGCGGAAGTCTTGACGACGGATGTAAGAACGCCCACGTACGACAAGGCCCCCCCATACGACTCGATAGACGAGAGCGAAGTTGGCGCGCAGATTACAACGACTACAATTGCGGTGGAAGGCATGACCTGCGGTGCGTGTACGTCAGCTGTCGAGGGGGGCTTCACAGATGTCCCGGGGGTGAAGCACTTCAGTATATCATTATTAGCGGAACGCGCGGTTATCGAGCACGATGCGACGATATTAAGCGCAGCACAAATTGCAGAAACTATCGAGGATAGGGGCTTTGGGGCTACGATTATTGACAGCCAACTGTCGACTCCGAAGCATGCACAAGCGCACAGTGCCAACGAGACCCAGGTCGCGACGACAACGGTGGAGGTTCAAGGAATGACCTGCGGCGCGTGCACATCAGCTGTGGAAGGCGGATTCCAGGACCTTGAGGGGCTCGTTCAGCTCAATATCAGTTTACTGGCTGAACGTGCCGTTATCGTCCACGATCCGGCAAAGTTGTCGCCGGAGAAGATTGCAGAGATTATTGAAGATAGGGGCTTCGATGCTAGGATATTGTCAACGACTACGGGAACTTCAGAGCAATCCAATGCCATATCAAGTCAGTTCAAGGTCTTTGGGCTAAGAGATGCAGCTGCGGCAAATGGGCTGGAGTCTGCGTTACGTGCGATGCCTGGAGTCACGTCTGCGTCAGTTAGCTTATCTAACTCGCGGCTTACTGTCAACCACAAGCCACGCATTGCAGGTTTGCGAGCACTGGTTGAGAAAATCGAGTCTCTCGGTTTCAATGCGCTCGTAGCCGACAACGACGATAACAACGCACAACTGGAGTCCCTCGCCAAGACGAAGGAAATCGCCGAATGGCGCAGCGCCTTCAGGACATCCCTGGCCTTTGCAAGCCCAGTATTCTTAATCAGCATGATCATTCCTATGTTCCTCAAACCCATCGACTTTGGCAGGATCCTGCTCTTCTTCCCAGGCCTCTATCTTGGCGACGTTATCTGCTTGATTCTAACTGTCCCGGTGCAATTCGGCATCGGGAAGCGCTTTTATGTTTCGGCTTACAAGGGGCTGAAGCATAAAGCTCCCACTATGGATTTATTGGTGGTTATGGGAACTTCTGCCGCATTCATCTTCAGTGTTGCTGCAATGCTCGTCTCGGTCTTGTATCCTCCTCACACTCGCCCGAGTGTGCTGTTTGACACCAGTACTATGCTTTTCACCTTTATTTCTCTCGGCCGATTTCTGGAGAACAGGGCGAAGGGCCAGACCTCGAAAGCGCTGTCGAAGCTCATGTCGCTTGCGCCGTCAATGGCGACTATCTACGCCGACCCGGTCGCAGCAGAGAAGGCGGCGGAAAACTGGAGCAAAGACAGGAATGAAGAGTCCGCAGATAGCACTGCGTCAGAGGAGAAAGTTATCCCCACTGAGCTTCTCGAAATGGGCGATGTTGTTATTCTTCGCCCTGGAGACAAGATTCCGGCTGATGGGGTCGTCACCAACGGCGAGACTTATGTCGATGAGAGCATGGTAACTGGTGAGGCCATGCCGATTCAAAAGTCGAAGGGCAGCATGCTGAGCGCTGGTACCGTCAATGGCGCCGGAAGAGTGGACTTCAGGGTCACCAAGGCCGGACGAGACACTCAATTAAGTCAAATCGTGAAGTTGGTACAGAGCGCTCAAACGAGCCGCGCGCCCATCCAGCGACTAGCAGATACCATCGCTGGGTACTTCGTGCCTACCATCTTGGTCCTCGGCATATTGACATTCTCCGTCTGGATGATCCTGAGCCACGTCATGCTCGACCCACCCAAGGTCTTCCTCGACGAGGCCAGCGGCGGCAGACTCATGGTCTGCGTCAAGCTATGCATATCCGTAATCGTCTTCGCCTGCCCCTGCGCCCTCGGCCTCGCAACACCCACCGCTGTCATGGTCGGCACCGGCGTGGGCGCCGGGCGCGGAATCCTCGTCAAAGGCGGCGGGGCCCTCGAGACAGCCACCACCATCACACAGGTCGTACTCGATAAGACCGGGACCCTGACGATGGGCAAGATGAGCGTCGCGGAAGCTAAACTCGTCCCCGACTGGGACAGTACCGACGCACGTAAGAAGCTGTGGTGGTCCGCTATCGGCCTCGCCGAAATGGGCAGCGAACACCCCATCGGAAAAGCCATCGTCAGCGCTGCGAAGACATCCCTCCAGCTCGGCCCCGCAGACGCCCTCGACGGCTCCATCGGGGACTTCCAGCCCGTCGTCGGACTCGGGATCAACGCCCTCGTCGAGCCCGCCTCAGCCTCTCGCACCCGTTACCGCGTGCTCATCGGCTCGGTCCGCTTCCTCCGCTTCCACAACGTAGAAGTGCCGAAATCCGCAATCACATCCTCGGAAGACATCAACGCCCTCGCCACCACATCTTCTAAACCGACTACCTCCTCAGGGACAACCAACATCTTCACCGCCATCGACGGCCGCTACGCCGGGCACATCTGCCTCGCCGACACCCTCAAGCCCTCCGCCCCCGCCGCCGTCGCCGCTCTGCATCGGATGCGCATCAAAACCGCCATCGTAACGGGTGATCAGCGCTCCACCGCCCTGGCCGTCGCGCGCGCCGTCGGGATTCCAGCCGAACATGTGTATGCGGGCGTCTCGCCGGATCAGAAACAGGCGCTGATTAAGAAATTCCAGGCTGCCGGGGAGGTCGTGGCGATGGTGGGGGATGGGATCAATGATTCCCCCGCGCTCGCTACGGCGGATATCGGGATCGCGATGGCCTCGGGCACTGACGTCGCTATGGAGGCTGCGGATATCGTCTTAATGCGACCGAATGATATGATGGATGTCCCCGGGGCGGTTGCCTTGGCGAAGGGGATTTTTGGGAGGATTAAACTCAATCTTGCGTGGGCGTGTGGGTATAACCTCGTCGGATTGCCGTTTGCGATGGGGGTTTTTCTGCCGTGGGGGATGCATCTTCATCCGATGGCGGCGGGGGCGGCGATGGCGGCTAGTAGTGTTAGTGTGGTGGGGAGTAGTCTTTTGTTGAAGTTCTGGAGGAGGCCAAGGTGGATGGATGATATGGAGGTGGGTGATAAGGGGGGGATTGTGAAGAAGGGGAGGGGGTGGGGGATTAGGGGAAGGATTGGGGAGTGGGTTGATGCTGTTAGGGGGAGGGGAGGGAGGAGGGGGGAGGGAGGGTATGTGCTGTTGAGTACGTTGGAGGAGGGGGGGGTTGTTTGAAAGTGAGTAGGGGGAGGGGGTTGTAGATAGTTGGTTGGGGGGTTTATATATGGAAATATAGGATTTTTGATCTATGTCCTGGCTTTTCTGGAGTGATACGTTTACAGTGACTGTGAAATGCGTCGTCAGGGTGGGGTTTGCGCGGGTAATTGAATTCAGAGGTCAGAGTCATGTGCGAATTCTTCCAAATTTGATATATGCGGTGTGTACCGGTTGTGAGCACTTTCGGGCGGGAGATTGAATAAGTTGGGGGTAATGGTAGAGTCAGGGGATTGTCTAGCCCTTCTATCACACAGAAGGGCTAGACAATCCCCTGACTCTACCATTACCACCAGGATATAACATCAACACCCTCATCTAAACAAATTCCAGCATGGCGCCAGCCATAATACTGTCTGAACAGTCGTTGGCACTACTTGCATCAGGAGGGCAGGCCATCGACCTAACCAACGGTGTTAGAAAGATCTCAAATGCATCCTACATGTCCCGCGACTCATTCGATACCCAGGCCACCGTCGAGATCCCGGATGAAATCGACAGTGTCCAGACACTTGAGTTTCTAGAGCTTAACGCTGAAACTGCCGCTATTATATACGACAAATTCCTTGCCTTCAAAGCACAATATCCCGATAATGCAGACATCCTTCGTTTTGCCAGAAGGCATGTACACAGCGTAGCTGGAGATGCGCATCTTCCGACCGATGATTGGCCTGGGGTAATGCAGCGAATCGGCCTCACGAGCAACTTCCAGTCGAGGGTATTAAATCCTGATTGGTCACACATGCGTCTTACGTCAACCGCTAAGGAAACCGCTATTTGGATGATGGAGATGAGGTTCGAATTCCTACAAACTCTCGACAAGTTCATCGAGTCGCCTGCGAAGGGCATAGGGAGAAAAGTATCACACCTAGACATGAGTGGGAGGCTACAACCTGGGACCCCAGGAATTCAACTACGCTCGGATAGCAAGGGAAAAGGTCAGCCATCGAGTGGAATCTTTAAAGCTGGGCCATCGTCTTCAACGAAACTAAGAGAGCCTCCATCTGAGCTTCCTGGGTGTCAAATGTTTTATAAAGGTGGCTCAGTGGCACGATTAGAGAAGTTGAATAATCCTAATGGATCATTGAGCCTTCAAAGGCTCGTTAGCACCCCGCCAACAGACTTCAGCACAGCTGGCACAGCTGGCTTATACCTTACGAAACAGGAGAAGGTAGCATTTGAAGATGCAGGATGGGCTAAGCAGGTCGTCGACGGGAACATTGTGCCAGTTGGGATTATGTGCATTGCAATTCCTGATGCTATCCTTTCATCACATACACAGATATTCGGAGACCAGTGGAGAGAGTTGGTTTGGTGCTGCCGCCACCAGGATTTCCCGCCTGAGAACCTATCGTATTTGACGACATACCAATGGATTGTTGGACCTGTCTGCCGTCAAAATAATGCTGTCGTTTTAAAGATGACGAATAGTTCAGAGCTTGTCATTTGGAAGCTTGACAGAGGCGAAACGGCATGTCAACAATACACGTCTTCTAGTCAAATACTACAGCTTCTCAATAGCTCGTGTGTCGGCAAGGTCTGGATTACCAATTTGGCAAGAGAAGCTAAATAAGAAGTCTGCCTGCCTCATTAGGCCAACTCGCAAGTGTAGGTTCCCTACAGTACGTGCGGTATATGAAACATCTATCCGACTTGCTTCTACAGAAACAGACATTGAGAGCAGGCCTATCCATACCTCGCCCTTTTTCCCCGTCGTTCAGTCGCACCGCACTCATATTATGCTGCCCTGAAAATTGTACCCTGCATGGAGATTTGTTAGGCCGTAATAAGTGAAGCTGTTAGCATGAGCGGATGAGGGATGCGTTCTTGTAATCTTGTTAGCTACAGTTATTCAGTCTCACCAATCGAGGCCGATCCCAAGCGGTAGGAGTTGGGAGTTGAATAACTTTCACTATAACATTTCGTATTAAACAATGTTCCAACTCAATAGAGATAAATTGTGATCGTTGGGACTTTCTATTGTGGTTCATTGTTGGTAGTTATGAAGAGGGCAGACGCGATTTGAGGCTTGTTGTTGTAATCGCCCGAGGTGCGTTGGAAACACCTCAGGCGATTACAAGTGAATGTTGTGCCACTCGCGACTCGCTACCTAATTAAACACGTGATACCGGTTTAGGTGTTGAGATACCAAGACTGTCCGTAACTTAATCTCTAAATGTTACTTAACCCACACTCCATTTATTAGCAGATGGTGGTTTGAGTGTTTGTGCTGTTTCGTAGCTCAAGTTAAGACGCCCCGTCTTTTAGACGCCTGCTTCATTGTTTGCAGACCTTTGTTTTCAGGGGCATCGATTTCAAAAGTTCTCTCCTTGTGACCGGTTTACCACGGCCCCGACTATAGCCACTCAGATAATCTCACTACTAAACACACAGGAGACAAGAGCAATTTACACCACCTTCAATTATTCATCTCTATCCTACGTACTCCTCATTTCCTTCCTCTACCCCCCCCTTTCCGCCCCCCCCCCCCAACAGCCTCCTTCCCCATCACCGCGCTTTCCCTCCTCTCCCCGTTCTCCCCCCCTTCAAAACATATCTTCCCACCCCAGCCATACAACAAACCACCCAACCCCCACAAAAAAACAGATCAAGCAAATGAAAAAGAAACGAAAACAGAGACTCTGGTATTAACAACAAAAAGGCACGACACGCAGAGAAAGAGAGAGATGTGAAAACGATCGCTGGTGAAAGGAGGCCTAGGTATCAATCATGAAATGAAGACGAGAGGGTAAACTTCCGTATCGCAGGAGTAAAGGAAATGAGATCGGTGTGTATGTGTATGTGAATGTTGTTCATCCAATGACAACGGTAGTCGTCGTAGATGGCGCGCAGTGGTATAGTCTGCTTGCGAACAACGAAAAAACGTATGTGAGAAAATCCCGCAGCCGTATATACTATGAGGTCGGTGGTGGGTATGTAAAGTAGGCTTCGTTACAGGCGAAGGTGTTCCGTATATATAAACCCTCTCAAGAGAGAGAGGCGGAGGAGGGACCCTTTATCGACGAGCAGGGCTGTCGGCTGTCGACTGTAGGTGCGCCATTCTCCATATTCCCCGTCAACTCCGCGACTCTAGCCTTGATCCTCGCGACACGGCTCTCAATCGCTACAAATCACACACGTTAGCCAAAATCCCCTTTCCCTTTCCCCCTCCAAAACACACCGGGGTAAATCAAACAGGATAAAACTTACTCTCCTCCCCACTAGTCTCCCCCCCATCCCCATCCGTCCCCGCACTCTTCTGATCCTCACTATGCCTCGCTGCCGCCCTCTCCGCCGCATTCTTCCTAATCTGCGCCCACCGATCCCCCACCGGACTGACCGTCTTCTCCTCCTCCCCCACCTCTACCTTACCCACCCCCGCGGGGGTCTTGGGCGCCTTCGTAAGCACAGCAGCCTGGTTCTTCTTCTCCAACTTCTCTATCGCCGCCAATACAGCTGGAGATTTCCCGGTCGGGGCCGCAGCAGCAGCGTTATCAAGGCTGCGTCTCGGTGACGCCTCCAGGGATGCCTCAGGTGCAAAAGCGGGCACGTCTTCGAGGGGGCCTTGGTCGAAGCTTGAGAATGCTTGGCGCGCTTCGTGGGCGTCCGCTGTGTCGACGCGGGAGAGAGATTCCTGGACAGATGGGTTGTAAGAGCGTTCTTGCCCAAACGCATGCTGCGCCGCGCCGATCTCAGGGGGTTGGGTGGGCGTCCTGTCTTCGCTCTCCGCGATGCTCGCTGGTGCCTGGCTCGCCGTCAACGAAGCAGCGGGCTTGCCGAACGACGACACATCTTGCTGGCTCTTCTTCCTGAAGCCGGAGAAGCGGCGTCCAAGCGTCGCACCACCAGACTGCAGTTGACCCTGCGCCTTCTCCACAGCCGCAGCATTGGCAGGCGCCGCAGAGGGCGGCTTAGACTGGAACGAATCACGATTCTTGTTCCTTCCAAACATCTTCTTGAATCCCCCACCACCAGCCTTCTTAAGCTTATTATGGTCAGGCGACTCCGGGTTCTTCGCCGCCGTGCCATTACCCGTCTCCGTCGTCTCGAGGAACTGCGCCAGGCTCTGCTGCTGCGTTTTCTTTGGGGGGGTAATCAGATGGCTCTGCGACGCTGGGTTGCGCTTGAGCGGCGGCGTGGTGGGGCGTGGACGCTGGGCGGGGTGGGCGTCGACTGGGAGACCGACCTCGGCGGCTTTCTCCGCGGCTAGGTTGCTCATCGCAGCGTTCCCTTTGGGAGGAGTGGGTGGGAGCGCGGCGGGGGCGATGATGTCCTCTGCTGCGGTAGGTGGGATGGCGGGGAGGTCGCGCTCAGCGGCTGCGCCGTTGGCTGGCCTGAGGTGGCCGTTGCCGTATGTTTGGGCACCCTTTCCGGTGGAGTCGTTGGTGAGGTATGCCTCTCTGACGGCGTCTTTGTCGTATTTGCGCGCCCATTTCATGGCGGGGCTGAGCTCAGTCATGATCACTGGCTGCATGGTGAGGACGCTGTTCGTCTTCGTGTGGCCTCCTGAACCAGATTCTCCGCGTCCGCGACGGGCTTGGGTCTCCTGCTCTGCAGCCTGTTGGCGCTGCTTCTGCTGGAGTTGAACGGCCGTGGCTTGGATACGTGCATACTGATCTGGGCCGATGTTGGTTCTGCTGCCAGTGCTTTGAGCGGTGCCGAAAGGAGAGTGTAAGGTAGTCTTGTCCTCGGTCTTGGTAGTGATCGATTTCGATCTCGAGACACCCTTCCCTCTCTTCGTCCAGCCAAATCGGCTCTTCTTCTCAGCCATATAAGCACCCGCCTCGGGGGCCGGAGCAGCTCCCTTCACCTGCTCCTCAATGACGAGCCATTTTCCGTGGGGAATGACGGTCTCGACGAGGGCGCAGCGTCCGAATGCCGCTTTGCGCTCGGCGGTCTCTTCGCCAGCCAAACTGCTGATCCAGACCCACCAGAAGGAATCGTCGAGGTCGAATTTGGTGATGCTTGCAAGCTCTCCGGGCTCCAGCGTGCGGTCGGATTCCAGTCGTGGTCTGTGCGACTGCGAGCTGCGTCCCCTGGAAGTTTCAATTGGTGGGAGGATCTTGTCGGGTGGGAGGAGAAGAGGTGTAGGATTGTTCATCTTCTCATCCACAAATCCAGATGAGAGGAAGTCCGCCCATGAGGGGGTTGTGGGTCGGCCCTTATCCATTGTCTTTGAGTGAGGCGCAGATCGAAGGCTCTGCGCGTTTTCTCTCCTCTTCGCGCTAAATTGGTCCTCTTGGTCCTCTTCGGCCTCGTCGAAGGCACCGGAAAATCCAATGTCCTCGAACCTCGACCAAGAGGCATCCTTGAGCCCGGCGGAGTTCTTTGAGTTTGAGACCTGGGTTTGGTTGGAGGACGAAATAGACCTGAGAACTCTTCTGCACTCATCCGATAGTGCCTTGACGGGATCATCGTAGTTTGAGAACTCCTGGAGAGCGTGATCCTCATCTCTGTACACGAAGTTGTTTGCGCGACGGAGTAGCGCGAATGGGGTTGGCGACACTGATTCGACAATCATGGCGACCTTTGGTGTGCTGTACAGCATGAGGGTTGGTGTCATTGGCGGGTACTCAGTCTCATGTACCAACTTCTGCAGCGAGATAGGCAGAGTGGAGATGCCATTGACGCCCTTAACTGACTCTGGCGACATCGATCTAAGGTATGCGAAGAACAAATGGCTCGTTGCATCAGCCGCGCTGTAATATGTTAGTAGGTAACCATAAACCAGAATCCGTCAGAACGTACGCAGACCAGCCCTTATAACCCCCATCGAAGCCCTCCCCTTTATTCCCATGATCAAACGCCCACCATCCTGCTAACCTCGACAATTTTCGGCCTCCCAGACCATTTTTCTTTCCATGCGCCGCAACAGCAGCTAGCAGATCGAAGAAATCGAATATAATCTTTGAGCGCGCATCTGAATCCGCGCCAACAGGAATGAAAGCAGTGAAGGAATCTCTAGCCATCTCCGAATCTGTCGCAGGGTCAGTAAGGGGACCATGTTGATCGATGAAGGGGCCTGTCAATACCTAGTTCTCCAATTCTGAACATCTCATACGAATCCCACGTTACAACACCTCCTGCCAATCTGCTCCAGCACCATTTCACCACGCTGCACAGCACCTATGTATTCGTCAGTTCACGTTGTGCCCAGACAGAAAGTAAACCTCACTATTGGCTCCGTCAGGCGCAGTTCTTGCAGCAGATCATTGCCCTGAAGAGTCTGCTTCCCATCGAAGTAATTCCTTATGAAGGTGCGCGCTGCGCTCGGGTCTGAGGTGGGTCGGAATGGGAGTAGGAAAAACGGGACATCGAGAGCTGCGAAAGTTTCCAGATTAGCATTCCATGATCTCTTCACACCCCGGCGCACTCTGCGTCCAAGACGTTTTGTATTGTGCGGTATGGAACTGAGGGCATACCTCTAGACTTCAGTTCGGTCGTGCACCCCTTCAACAGCTCCTGCACCTCCTCCGCCTCAACACTGGTGCGCGTCCAGGCATCAGACCATTTGGGCTTCGCGGGCAGGACCTGCGACGCCACCTGCTGTCCCTTCTTCGACTTGGTCAGAGCGGTCGGGCCATCCTTGCCCTTCAGCCTCGAGAAGAAACCGACCATCTTCTCTGAGATCGATCGGATCGGACCGTGTGTTGATGTTATGATTATGTGGCGGTGTTGTATTGGACAAGGAGCTAGAGTCGCATAGTCGATCAATCGCTTTCTTTCGAGGGCAGTAAGCCTGCCTTGATGGGTTGCGGGTAAGTGTTCGCTGTTCGGTAGGGAGAAACCACTTATAAGCGGAGGTATATCAGCCTTGTGTGCTATTTGGCTCGTAGATTCGAGTCGAGGTAGGCTTGTTGATAAATTGATAATAAGAGTGAGGGTTAGGTAGTAGCAGTATGGTAGGAAAGGGAAAGGGAAAGGGAAAGGGAAAGGGAAAGGGAAAGGGAAAGGGAAAGGGAGGGAAAGGGAGTTACGGGTGTGAAAGGCTGAAGGGGGGGCCTTGTAGGTCTCCAACTTTTGAAATTAGATTTTAGCTCGAAGTGGAAGGCGGTGAGGGGTAGTGGAGGGTGGGGGGTAGGTGACAACCCCTGGTATTAGGGTATTAGAGGTCTAAAGGGTTTAGGGGGGTTAGGGGAGTTAGGGGGTTAGGGGGGCTAGGGGGGTTAGGGGGGTTAGGGGGGTTAGGGGGGTTAGGGGGGTTAGGGGGGTTGTAAGTGGCGGCAATACTCTTGATATCACAACCAGGAGGAGCTATGAAAAAGACAAGAAGCTACTCCGTACAAGAAGCTACCAGAAGCGACTCTGTGATAGTGCATAGTGTACATACAGTAGTGGTAGAGTACACAACCCCAGAGAACGTCCACCCATCACCCCGCCAGCGAAAGAAAGGAAGCCCCCGAAAAAAAAAAAGGATTCTTGACGTGTTCGGCAATGCAATGCACGCGGTATGCGGCCAAGTACAGCCTAGCCAACGTGTGCTAAGAGCTATCGAACCGGGTGGTCCCCATCGTCCGTCTGGAGTATTCGTGGTATGCTGTGTATGGTTGGGCGCGCCATCCCCCGTCCCGCTCCAGTCCAAAGTCGTACGGCGGCTTGTGAGGACGGGAGACACCATGGGATGGATATTGGCGCTGGAGTAGGGGCAGGACGTGTCGGTGAGGAGGGAATGCTATGCCGCCGCCTGTCTGGATCAACGGCCGCATCCGCTGTCTGTCTGAGTGGGAGGCCGTGACGAGACCTGCGCCAAGTGACAAGCAAGGGGTTATCCGGTTCAATCCCGTCATATTGGGCGTATAGGGGTAAGTTACAGGACTATCACCGTCACCGTCACCGTCACCGTCACCGTCACCGTCACTCACATCGCGGCGTCCCGCTGTCTGTGCTGTTGTTCAATGACACTGTCAGTCCTAATTTCAAAAAATGTACATGATTCTTAAACTGGGCCTGGATCATCACATCACCGAGCCGTCATATTCACTGTCCGAAACGTTCAAGCAGAACACCAAAATCTCGAATGCAACTTCCAAAAATATCATCAAAATGCGAGTAATTGTGCTATAGCATCGACATTTTCAGTAATTATATATGAGACAGTGTATTGTAGAAGCCCCGACCAACCACCCAGCCTCGCCCAAAAATTCTTCGGAGCTGGTTAACCGCCGGCTATCCCCGCTGCTATCGCTATCCACCATCCCAACTCGAAATTGCGTAACCTCCCCAAATCTCCAACAAACCAACACCACCTGCGTCGTTGGAACCCAGCCCGCGTCCGCTGGAGAATGCGCAGGATCACGCAGTCCTAAGATCCTATTAGGCAGTTCTACTCAAGCTGTTTGACGGACTGCAACCCGGCATGTCTGGACACGATGGACGCCGCCGGAACGAGGAGTTTGCCACCCGCGCTCACGACGATAGGCACGGCGCCAGGACGGACGAGGAGCCGTATCTAGGACCACCTGTCATGCCTGTGCCGGGACGGGATCAGAATGGGGATATTGAGATCACGACGAGGCAGAAGATGCTGTCCGCAGTGTCCGGTAGTTTGTTCACTTCATTAATTGGTATGTAATGGCTACCTCCGTCTTAACTCCGTCTCTCCGGTTTTGCGATAATAGCTAACAATCGCCCCCAGTAACCCCCCTCGACGTCGTCCGCGTCCGCCTCCAATCCCAACCCAACCTCTCCCTCCACTCCGCCGTCACAAACCTCACCCGAACCGCGACCGTCGAAGGGCTCGGCGCGCTCCCCCCCAACCTCGGCGTCACCGCCTGCTGCCGCGAAGTCTTCTTCGCCGGCAACGCCATCGAATACTGCTACGCCGGCCCCTCGATCGGAACCCTTCGCCCCGCCAACTCCCTCGGCGCCATCGACTGCTCCATGGAAGAGACGCAGCGGCGCACTTTCAATTCAACCCTAGACGCCTTCCGCAAGATCTCGCGGAACGAGGGGATAACCACCCTCTGGCGCGGCCTGTCGCCTACACTCGTCATGACGGTCCCAGCGAATATCATCTACTTCACCGGCTACGACTGGCTGCGCTTCGCCCCTGCCAGCCCCGTCAATCAGCTATTCCACGACTCCTACGCCCCCCTCGTCGCCGGCGCATTCGCCCGCGTCGTAGCAGCCTTCGTCGTCTCCCCCATCGAGATGTTCAAGACGCGCATGCAAGCCAGCCACGGCGCCATCGCCGGGGGCGGGGGCCACTTTGCCAAAACCCTCAATTCCGTGCGCGAGATGACCAAGACCTCCGGCTACTCTTCGCTCTGGCGCGGCTTGACACTCACGCTGTGGCGCGATGTCCCGTTCTCCGGTATCTACTGGTGGGGCTACGAAACCGTTCGCGGCCAATTAGCCGACGTCCGCGAGCGCGCGCGCGGCCGCGAATTCGACCGCGACGGCCCCGGCAGTCGCGAACGTAGCCGTTCCCAAAGTCGAGAAAACCACACCAACACCTTCACCGACAGTTTCACCGCCGGCGCGGTCTCTGGCGCCGTCGCCTCGATCCTCACCATGCCCTTCGATGTGGGCAAGACGCGGCAGCAGATTTTCAAAGACCGTGTCGGCGCCACGGGCGGTGCTTTAGCGCCGGAGCAGCTGAGTATGCCGAGGCTTTTGATGCATATTTTTAGAGAGGAGGGGGCGCCGGGGTTGTGGAGGGGGTTGGCGGCGAGGACGATGAAGGTCGCGCCGGCGTGTGCGATTATGATTAGTTGTTATGAGGTGGGGAAGAGGATGAGTAGGGTGTTTAATGAGAAGGCGGAGGAGAATCGGGTTGGTGGGTTGTGATGGGGGATAATTTAGACAGGTGGGGAGAGAGGGCAAATTGGCGTTTATTAGAGGGGGGCTTGAGGGTCTCCGGTTGCGAATTTGGAGCGCCTATGGTGCTTTCGCGATGCATAGCAAGATGGCGTTTTTTTTTGGATTGATGTACTGTATTATGAGTAGAATACCATATCGTTCGCACCTCAACTCAATAGTAAAGAAAAAAAAAAAAAAGTAAAGTCAGCATACAGGCCGTTTGTGTAAAAAAATAACGGCAAGAGATGAACTAGTGAGAGAGGCCATGCATCACAAGCTTGCGGAAATCGATGATAAATTGACCATATTCAGCAAAAGGCTCTGTGAATCCTCCGTTGTGAGGTAAGGACAGTAGATTTGAAGCTATATTTTGGATATCCTCAGTTCCAGAATCACTTTGTTAAGCTCTTCTCCTTTATGCTCAGAAAATGTGTACCTCACAATCGCAATAACAAAGTAGGTATTCTCGTCGTAAACCAGCACAGTTCGTATAGGCAAAAGAATTTAGTAAATCGCAAGACTATTACGTCCTCTCCACAACAAGCTTGAAAAAATCCTTTACATTGACCCCCCTCCCCCAAAAGCTCCACAAACCCGTCATTGCGAGACAGAGCCACCGAGTTCGTAGCCACATCCTGAGCCACCAAACTCTTCAGCTCCGTCATCTTGTCTTCTCTTCCCAAACTCAAACTCACGGGAATATGCGTATCTCACAAGGTCATAACATCTCGCGCATTCACATTGTCGATCTCGAAAACGCACAGGGTTTTGTGGAGTTTGTGCGAGAGCGCCTTCAGCGTCTCGATCTCTTGGATATCTGCCAAGGCCGAGAGAGAGGCGTGGCAGAGGAACACGTTAGAATAGTTTCGATTGACATAAAAATGCTCGCCGGGGTCGCAGCCATCGCGATGGTTGACCCGCGGCCGGAGTAAGGGGAAGGTGAGGGAGGGGAGGTCGACTGGAGGCGGGACGGGCTCTGGCTCTGGCTCTGGCGCTGGCTCCGGCTCTAGTTCCGTAGCTTGAGATGCAAAAGCAAGCCGTTCTTTTCTGGCCTTTTTTTTGCGCGCAAATAAACTCAAGCGCACACTTCCCGTACCCTAGTATTCCGCCGGCGCAGGTGCAAAGGAGTCTTTAGCGGGAGTAGGCTCCTCAGGGGCATGCTGCGTGGTCGTACCCGAACCCCCCCCCCCAACTGTTCCTCCAGGACTTGCTCCACGTGTTCCTCGGCAGGGGCCTCTTCCATAGGTATATCTTCAGGAGGTGGGAGATCGCCTTTCCTCGACGGCATGATCCCCATTCAAAGTGTCCGACAAGATCTCGTCGTTCACAGCCTCTTGCTTATCCACAGCTCATGACGTCTCAGTGGCTTGGGAATCCTCGGTATACGCAAACTGGACGAGCCGCTCAAACGTCCTTTTGCTCACGTCGGGCCATACTTCAGGTTCACCCACGAAGCCTTTGTTCACTATGGCACGAAGTGGTTGCACTATGGCACGAGTGGTTGGGAAAGTTGGGCTATGGCTTCTTCGTGGAGGCGGAACTCGCTGGATTTGCCATCGACCCGCTGGCCGACGAAGAACGTGACGATCCTGGAATCAAGGATTCTATGCATGTTATTGATAGTTTATGTGACGGAAATGGCTTCGATAATGACAAGGCTAGGCAGGTGAGACTTACTCTTTGAACGTGGCCAGGATATTTAACCAAGAGTTATTCTTCACACTACTCGTTCTTGTAAATCTATATATCCACTTTCAACAAGTTTGGCATCCACTTTGATCCACTGAAGCTTTTAAGATACATCATCTGGAGACGGCTGCTACTCTGAGATGAGATGATGCAATAGAAGGTGAACTAATCACAGCCATGGCAACGCATATCTGCAGCATCTTGGCTTGCATGTTTGCTTCAATGTTGTGATGGGAAACAGATGGAAGAACAGGGAGTATTCGAAAGCCAGCTCCGCGGCGGTCTCGTCGAAGATATCATCCAGGACTTGAAATGCTATCTTATTATCCGGCATAACATAATATCCAAAGTTATCGACGCTATAGAAAGCTCATGTACTTAGCTTGTGCCATAACTCAATGCCCGGAACTATGAGTCTGCAGAGGTCCTTACCTGATGAAATCATCCGGCAGGCGGCTGGAAACGGCAATTCGGTAGGAAAGACCAATTGGGTACACAAGATAATATGCATTTTCATAATCAATGCAGCCTCGTCCGATATGCAGCTACGATAATACTTGGAAACTTAACAAGTCCGGCGCTCCAGGGTGTCAGGGGAGAGTGATGCCTAAATTGAACGCGTGACGACGCGAAGGAACACCAGAAAGATCGCGTCTCCCAATCTCCACACGCGAATGTGGCGTGCGGCTGACCACAAGAGTAAAATGCACATAACCATAGCCATACCTCCCATTTTCCTCCCCAGTTTTCAAAGTGTCTTTCCTCCTAGTATTTCAGCGGTCAATTGCCATGTCTCTCAAACGAAAAGCCGCAGATGCCGCTCTGGCAGATGCCAAAAAGGTCAAGGCGAATGGCAGCATTACGTCTTTTTTTGGGCCGCCCAAGGTAGCTGCTGCCAAGACGATCTTGACGACTACTAAGGTTGCTGCGAAGTCGGCGGATGGCGAGACTACGGAGACTGTGGTAGGGACTATTGTTCAAGAAGAGGTCAAGTCCTCGAGGCCCAAGTTTGACAAGAAGAAATGGGCTGAGAAGCTCACGGCGGAGCAGAAGGAGCTCTTGGCGTTGGAGATTGCGACGCTGGATGAAAGTTGGTTCGCGGTGCTGAAGGACGAGCTGTTGACCAAGGAGTTTCTTGCACTGAAGAGGTTCCTGGTGCAGGAGCATATGGCCAAGAAGCAGATCTTTCCGCCCGCAGAGGACGTGTATTCCTGGTACGACACTTCCTCAACTCTCTCCTCTGTCAACCCTATCGTGAACGTGGCATAACTAACAATCCCCTCCAGGTCCCGCCACACCCCCTTCCACGCCGTCAAAGCCGTCATCATCGGCCAAGACCCCTACCACAACCACAACCAAGCCCACGGGATGTGCTTCTCCGTGCGCCCCCCCACCCCCGCCCCCCCCTCCCTAAAAAACATGTACAAAGCCCTCAAAATCGACTACCCCGATTTCCAACCCCCTCCCAACAACGGCGGTCTCCTGACCCCCTGGGCCGACCGCGGCGTCCTCCTCCTCAACACCTGCCTCACGGTGCGCGCGCACGACGCTAACAGCCACTCCGGGAAGGGGTGGGAGAGGTTGACGCAGCGGGCGATTGATGCGGTTGCCGCAAGGAGGGGAAGGGGCGCGGTGTTTATTGCATGGGGGGCGGCGGCGGGGAAGAGGGTCGCGAAGGTGGATCGGAAGAAGCATTGTGTGTTGGTGGGGGTGCATCCGAGTCCGTTGAGTGCGCATAGGGGGTTTTTTGAGTGTGGGCATTTTAGGAAGACGAATGAGTGGTTGAGGGGGAATCATGGGGAGGAGGCGGTGATTGATTGGAGTTTGGATGTTGGTCCGAAGGTTGCGGGTGTTTAGATGGGGGAGCCTTGGTGGTGTTCTAGTGTGGATATGATACCTTTTATGTTCCTTTTTTGTTCTAATGTTTGGCGTGGATATGCCTTGAGCGCGGACTATTGTCAAACTATACTATAGTATGAAGATTACAGTTTTACGCTCTACTTGAACCTTTGATTACGTGTCTATATCTACCTCTCGGTTTACAGTCGTGCAGTTTCCGACACAAAGCTCTATGCTGTTTCACATTTGAGCAACGAATCTCCTTTGCTACGCATCATATCTCATGGTCCTGGAAGCCGACTTAAGCATTTCGAAATGAAACTCGCCAACAATGTGTAGTAATTAGGCAAGAAGCAGTACCAAGACACAGACATAATTGGAGTGGCTTTGAAGCATCCCACATTTTTCCCATAGCATACGAGGCACACTGGACGGCTCACACACAGCTTTGGGCGGTGGATATCGACCGTGCCAGAAAAGATAAGTTGACCACGGCAGTAAGATGTTGGTAACAGCGACATGCCAAATTCCTCACAGGCTCCTCGACCAACTCTAGTAGAGGCAGCAGAAGCTCCTCTCGATGAGCCCGTGAGATACGATGTGGTGGCTAATTCTATTGTTGAAATTGAAACTATGGAGTTGCCATTATCTCCAAATCCAACCCCCTTTTTCTTGCTGACATGCACCAAACATCGATTCTCAACCTCCAACCCCATTCCCGTCCTCACCCCTACGATATATATTGACTGTCCATTCACCCAGTCCATTCACCCAGCATCACCACCAGAGGCGGTTGCCACAGCGCCATGGGACTGGACTTCCGCCTCGACGTTCTTCAGCCTCCGTCCCCGGCGAACCCGAAGTTCTTGAAGGACAGCACCGGCTTCCACACTTTATTTTCTTACTACCACTCCTCTTTTCTCACCAACGTTTCTCTCTCTCACCACCCTCTCCCTTTCTCACCTATAATGCCTCTATAAGATTTTGAGATTCGGCCTGTCTAGGCAGAGTATCGCCCATATGAGCTTCGGCGGAAGCTTCAGTGTGTCCGGGCAGCTAACATTATCCGTGCTTCGCTGTTGTTTATTTACCACATATGACACATCTTTAGACGGTTATCACGAAGTCAGGTTGGCATAGCTTTGCCAGAGCAGTCGCCCACTCCATCTCTCTCTGTCTATAAAGCTATACTGGATCACCCCCGATGTAGCATTTGCGCGACTGGTCGTATTTTACAGTGTGGGGACACATGAATCAACAATTCCGTAAATGCAAGGCCTAGTCACTGACGGGCCTGTTTGGCTCTCACTCCGGCTGCTCTCACCACCATTGCAGATGGCTCAAACCCAGCTAATAAATCTGGCGGGGAGGTCTGGCGGGGAGATCCCGGGTGGTGGCGCAGAGGAGTGGGGAGCTGTCTTGACTCAGGGTGGTGGGGATTCAGTTGTGCGTAGGATTTGGTGGAGGGGGGTGGTTTGGGGGTTTGGGGGCGGCTACGGGTTTCATGATGGCGCTGGGCGGGGATGAGGCTCCTTGGTTTTGGTGCTGGCTTGTCTTGGGGAAGGGTGAGGGTTGTGATTGGGGTTGGAGACGCTGCTGCGCCTCCAAGGTGGTGAGAGGTAGTATGACCAGACCTCCCCACGGTCCAGACTATCCCCCTCCGCGTGTCAGCAATCCCCGTGGTCGAATCACAGACAGCCTGGCCTTATCGCGCATAATACGAGCGACCCGCCCGCGCGCCTATCGCGACCCAGTACAATCCTATCCACGATAAAATTACCAGCGGTCGCCAAGAGGTCATCGCTCAAACAAGCCGCGGGTTTCTTACCAGTGCCGGCCAGAGCAATGGTGCGGTGTGAGTGGTTGCCAGGGGTGCGGCGGCCGCTTGCGAGACGCCGCCCCAAGCGCATCCCCGACACCCCCTGACACTCGGGTACGGGGCGCTGATTGGCTGGCTCGGCGGCTGTCAGAACAGGGGCGTGTCAGGAATTAATAGAAGTGCCTTTGGTGAGGTAGGGCGCGTGAGAAGGTGAGGCGTGAGAAGTGAAGGTGAGGTGGTGAGTCTAGACAAATCAAGTCTTAGTGGAGCATCTATATTTGTACGGTCTGGATCGACATCGCGGTCTGGTGAGGTGGGTATAAGAGTTGGAGAGTTCCCAGAGAAAGTGAGTTTTTGGATCAGCAGCTTCTTTCATTGTCAATCTTCTTTCAGTCTTCAGTCGATTCTTACGATTTCCTTTTCGGGTCTTGTTTTTGGGTCGGTCTCCTTACAACGGTCTCTTCTTGTGTCTCATATTTTCGTCTTGGTTTTTCTCAGACTTTCTTTACAACACGACTTGAATTGCTTCGATAGCATAAACACGCTCTTTATCGATTGATTCGATATCCCTCGTTCTCCAAAAGACCCCAAAAAAAGTTGGCTATTTACCCACGATCACTATAACGACATAAAATCAACACGGTGCCTTCATCACTCTTTCTCAGACGCATCTCTCCCAGACCCAACGTCTTCCCCAAAGCCCTCCGCATCAACACCAACTTTTCAAATCACTCTTTATCAAAAAAACCAATCATGCCCGCTCCCCAATACGGCGCCCTCGGCGCGTCCTACACCGTCGCCCGCGGTCTCCAGGGTATCTCCCTCATCTCCATCATTGGGATGACCGCGAATTTTATCGCGCAAATGGTTTCTTCCAAGACCAACCCTCCTAACGTCCTCATTGGGACCATCAGTGTCGTGAGTCCCCCCTTCTCCCCTCCCCCAAATCTAATTCCCCCGCCAATCAATTGCTAATACCCCTCAGACCTGCATAGCAGTCCTCTACTGTGGAATCTCCTACATCCTCTTTTGGGACCGCCACCTTCCCTTCCTCATCGCAACCGGTCTCGACTCCGCCCTCCTCATCGCCGTCATCGTCGTCGCCGTCACCATCGGCAAGCCCCTTTCCTACCTCGACTGCGCTGTCCTCTCCAAGGACGGAGGCAGTGCTAAAGCTTTCTTGTCGTCTGTTGGTGCCAACATTGGGAAGGTTGATTATTTTGTTTGGGCCGGGGCGGATAGTTTGACTTGTTACGAGATGAAGAGTATTTGGGGTCTGAGTATTGCGTTGTGTATCCTTTTTGCGCTGTCAGCGGCGATGAGCGCCTTGTTGTGGAAGAGGACTAGGGGGGGGTTCACTGACCTCGAGAAGTGAGAGGCTAACTCAGAAGGCGACATCTGGGTGTTTGAAGGGCGGTGGAGTTGCGCAAAAGCTCTCTGAGCAAATGAAGGAGGTGGACATTGTTCTCAATCAAAAGTTCAAAAACAAAAACAAAAACAAAACAAAGCAAAACAAAACACCAAAAAACCGGTATCAGATTGGTTATATTCCGCTCTTACAGCGAGGAGGCTCTGGATGAGTCGGTCGGACGGATGGATGGTCTGTTTTTGTTTTCTGCTCTTATTTTTTTTTCGGGAGTAATAGTAATAGGATAGGATAGCTCTCTGTGAGTAGTGTGCAGCAATGTCTTTGTCATTTTAACGCAATAATGTGCATTAGCTTAGTTACAATATACCGCCATATTCAAGTCTGGGCTCGCTATTTTTTACTCGGGCACTATTCTCAAGCCAATCCTTGGGCAGAAGTGCATTTATCTCACGTGACACACTTTCTTGAAGTTCTAGTCATCAAGAAGGGTAATTACTATTGCTATGAGGCTCTACGATAAGGCAAGTTTGATTCTTCTTACAAACGCACTCCTAAGAACATATTTGCTCAGATATGGCACCGGCACTAGTTACAGAGGATTATTACATGGCCCTTGAAGTGGGGCAAACGGCTTCGCCCGAGCTAGTCATCAAATCTTACAGACGACTAGCGCTAAAGCTCCATCCGGATCGGAATACCAAGCACGATGCTACTGAAGCCTTTCAACTAGTATGTTAATGTTCCAGTGAACTAGTAGTATGCTAAAATCAAATATTAAAGCTCGGAAGAGCCTACGATACATTAAAGGATGAAACCAAACGCCAAGCGTACGACTCCATCTACCCTACCATAACACGAAGTGGACCCTATTCTCAAACTACCCAAACACCTCATCCGGCTCCTGCTTCAACCCCGCAATCAGGAGCACTTAGCGAAGCCGCACAAATCGCCGCACTTCAAAAGTCGAAGCAAGAACGTAGTGCATGCTGGCGGACCGAGGAGAATGTCTTCGACTCCTCGATCTTCGAGCTACGGAGAGATGTTCGCCGGTTGGAGCAAGAAATCAAGGATTTGGATAGTATTGTAGCTGCTGAAGCAGCGGCAGAGGCACAGAAGAATAGTTGGGGGACGTGGTTATTATCATCAATACAAAAGAAGGCAGAAGACACTGAGAAGGAAAAGGAACGCAAGGATAGGGAGAGGCAGGAGAGAAAAATTATGAAAGATATGAAAGAGAGGCGACTAGGGTTAAAGAAGGCAGACTTGAAGAAAGTGGAAAGCCTGTTACAAAGTGCGAAGAAGGAGGTGGATACTGCGGATCTAGTCGATACTAGGAGGATACAAGTGATTCAAGATAGAATACGGGCTAGAGAGAAGAGGGAGAGACAAGATAATGAGAGGGTCGCGAGAGAGAGAATAGCGAGGATTCGGAAACAACAACAAGAGCAGCGGGAGAAACAGGAGCGGGAAGCAGCAGAGGCATGCAAAATACGACAGGCAGAGGAGCGTGCAGCAGAGCAGAAACGACAAGAGGAACAGGCTAGGAGGTGGCAGAAGATTAACGATGATGAAGCTAAAGAATACCGGAAACGATATGCAAATGTCAATCACCCTAGATACTCTTTTGGAACCGAGAGAAGCGCTCGCGAGGCTTCTGTATCAACCTGCCACCACGGCGGCTGGTGGCGAAAAATACAAGGACGTACGGCATGCCCGAAGTGCTATGTGAGTTGGAATTATCTGCTCCAGTGCCCGGGCTGTATGATGAAGGCGTGCGCGGGATGTCAAGCTGCGATACGGCCGAGTATGCCACGTAATACGGCTAGGACGAATTGAAGAGCCCCTTTAAGGGCTTCGAGCCCGGATTATCTTTACAACGACTACTAAGTTGGGGTTGTGAAGGGAAATCTAATAAAGAAATTGATTAGCTTGGGTTTCGGCATCATTTGGGGGAACATTCTTATATTAGATATGTCCCCGGAATAAAACATTTAATTTGTCCCATGACGCAGTTCGTCTCGTATTTCGCACTTCTCATCTCTACCATTTTACCACCAGCAGTACACTCCATATCTCCCATCCTTTACGCCTTAGTATTCAACCTCACCCTCCCCACCTCCCTCCCCTTCATCCCCACAACTCTCACCCCCCTCCCCTCCAACTCCTTCTTCTTCCCCTCCCACCCCCCCGGATCAACAGCCCTCGTCCCCTCCTCCACAATCACCGCTCTAAATCCCTCTTTCACCGCATCCTCCGCCGTAGCAGCGACGCAGTAGTCTGCTGCTAGGCCGACTACGTATACATCCGTCACCCCCTTTTCCTTGAGTAGGGTGGATAACCCGCTGTCGCCCACGCGGGGAGAGGAGAGGGGGGGGTAGAAGGCGGAGTACATTTCGACGGATTTGATTTGGCCTTTTTCTAGGATCTTGTCGATTTTGGAGATGTCTAGGTCTTTCACCAGTTCAGCGCCGGGCGTGCCTTGGATGCAGTGATCCAACCATAATCTGCTCTCGTACTTCTCCTCCTCGTTCTCGAGGTTGGTTATAGTAGCGAAGGAGGTGAAAGGTTCAGCACCGGGGTGCGAAGACGCGAAACTGATGTGACCAGCAGGATGCCAGTCTTTAGTCGCAATTTTGAGGACGAAAGGGTAGGTGAGGAGGGTGTTGATGGTGGGGAGGATGGAGCGGCCGTTGGGGACTGCTAGGGCGCCGGACTGTGGGGGGGGTTAGTGGGGTGGAGTTGGGGTGGAGTTAAGGAGGGGGAGGCGGGAGAGGAAAGGAGGGGAGGGGAATGGCGTACGGGAGGACAGAAGCCTTCTTGGACATCTACTACTATGAGTGCTGGATTGAAGGCTGGGTCGTCAGCCATTGTTGTGGTTGTGGTGGTGGTGGTGATGGCGGGGTTTTGGCGGGGTAGTGGTGGTGACGCGGTGAGGGTGCGATGTAGTGGATGTATTTGGGGGGGTTGTTAGGATGTGGAATGGGCGAAATGGATTGGAGATTTGTTTCTGTTATTTAATTTTAAGGAGGACGAGCGAGATATATGTTATTTTTATATTGGTGTAATTAAATGGTGGTGTGATATCTTATCGCGAAATGCACGACAATAGGTTACAGTATATACAGTAATCGGGTCAATTGATTCTAACTATTCTAATGGCCTACTCACTATTCATGGGCGTTTTGGGGCCCTACAGTAATTACCGTAATCCTCCGTATGTCCACTGTTCTGGGTACAGAGTTTTCACCTGCCCCGCTAAGGATTACCAAACTTCTAGGCCAAAAACCCGGAATCCCTCAGCTCCCGTTGCGATTCCCAACAGAGCGACGCACTTCACACCATGACGTGACGTGACCCCTACGCATTCAACTTTAATTTTCTCTAAGGAATCAGCCCTTATTCAATACATCCTCGACCTAGCTACAGAAGGGTTTCCTCCTCGAGTGTCTGTGTTGAAGATATAGCAAATTGATGGGCTTACAACTTCATTAAGCGCCGCCTAGCGGAAATACGACTATTAGAGGGCTAAGTGCGAGGACCTAGAAGTCATCCGTAGTTATCGCTTGTTAGTCCTTAATGGCCATAAGAGCCACTACTTAGATGAGTTTAAGGAGTATTACAAAGAACACAACATTATAACTCTCTACATGCCTGCTCATTCTTCTCATCTACTCTAGCCACTTGATGTTGGCTGTTTTAGCCTATTAAAAAAGGCTTATAGTCGGCAAATTAAAGATATAATCTGGATCCTGGTGTTCGACCTGCGGGGTTTGGCGCCCGCCTAATCGGGCAACGCGCGTGCACGTGCCTGCCGCCGCTTTCGAGCTCTATAAAAGGGCAGCTCCCCCTCCCCGACTTTCACTCTCCGTCGTCCCTCCCAACAGTCTCGCGCCTGCTGCGCTCATTTGGAATAGAGTTCATATGTCCATATACCTCAAGGGCAACTCCAGAACGAAAAAGGAAGCGCCCAAAGCGCAAACAGCACACCGCAGTATCAGAAATATTCTGTGTCATCACCGAGCGCTCGGTGAATCATTGGCTCAAAATTTCAAAGTGCCTCTTCAAAAACCCTTTCAGCACTTTCTTCTGTCTCCTCCCCAAGGTGACTCTTTGAATCATCACAGATATCACCAAGGTTCACGCCGTGGACAGGAGCGACGTCTCCTCAACTCTCCTCAACTCTGCGCATAAAGTTGAGCATAAAGTTGAACGGAGGCACAAAGTTAAAGCCTGCCCTGCGCTCAAGCAAAGTGCTATCTCCAGCCTTTGTGTACAAACCCCCCGACAATCCCTGTGTTAGAAACGAAGCCAGGTAAACTTCCCCGAGGTAAGACCCCCAGCTATGAAACTCAACCAACTTGTTACGGCTAAGTGCTAGTGCTATGGCTAGTGCTATGGCTAGCGCTTACGGCTGCAACCTCACGTGATGGATAACATTGGATATCATGGATATTATGTTATCCATGTTATCCACGGGGACCCACGGAATGTCATGTGATGGATAACATTGGATATCATGGATATTATGTTATCCATGCTATCCACGGGGATCCACAGAATATCAGGTGATGGATAACATTGGATATCTGGATATTATGTTATCCATGTTATCCACAGATATCCCTTTGGCACGACGCCACTATGTAAGTAGATAGTATTTCCTTAGATAGGAGCCTCGTGCTCAACTCAATATAGTATTCTTTACAATACTGTAATGTGTTACTTGGAAAGCCTTTGTGTTTAATTCCCTGCCTCCTCTGTAAAGTCAACCTTACGCAAGAAACCTCTGTGTCTTCTATCGTTTAGAAGTCAACGTTACACTTTGAGCACCACTTCCATGAGGTACCGGCTTACACACAAAGCAACATGGCTGGAGACGATACTGGATCAAACGTTGGATTAAAGGGGAAGGTTGCTACTGAACCTACCATCAAAGCCCCACAGGCTCACCCTTCAGACAAGTTGAAGATTGCATTCCCAGACACCTTTCATGGGGATCGCAAGAAGCTTAAGAGCTTCATCATCCAGATGGAGCTATCGATGGCGTTTAATGCCAAACACTTCAACAAAGAAGTGGAACAGGTCCTATGGGCTGTGGCACTCTTTCGAGGACCAGCCTCAGAATGGATCTCTAACTACCTCGCTGACTACATGAACCATCGAACACCTGACAGAAAATGCAACATCTTAGCTAGTCAAGGAACAAAGGAAATTTTTGTATCCTGGAACGGATTCCTCAAAACGCTTAAGGCAAACTTCAGAGACATTGATGAATGACGAAATGCAGTCAGGGCACTCCAGGCTCTCAAGCAGAGAGGGTCAGCAGTTGCATACACTGCTGAGTTTCAACAGCATGCAACACTCACCAACTGGGGAGAAGAGGCTATCTGTGACCAATTCTACGCAGGTCTGAAAGACCATGTGAAGGACGAAATCTTAAGGTCTGACAAACCAGATGACCTTAGAGAATGATTGAATTGGCTCAGAAGATCAGCAATCGTCACTATGAACGGCAACTCGAGAAGAAAGGGGGACCACCTAGTCAACACTGGACTCAGAAGAGAAGACAAACAAAGAGTCATTGGCCCCAACCTATGGAACTCGATGCTACTTTCAAGCCTAATGACAAACCCCACAATCCCAACAAGGAGTGACAGTTCCAAGAACGGCTCTGTTTCAACTGCAATAAGCCTGGACACTGTAAGGACACAGGGCACCCAGCTCACAGTAATAGCATATGAGAGTGCGAGTCGGAGGCTAAACGGATGCTATCCTATAGGTCTACTACGAAGGATACAAAAAAGATGAAGAGAGGAACCCCCGTTGAGTCAATTTCCTTAAGTACCCGAAACGGGTCGACTCGGATAACCTACCCTAATGCTCCCCACGTGACCGTAACCTGCCCGACTCTGATGCTTTCCATCACTGAGGGCTTTGGCATCCTTACACTACCCCCCCTCTTAAGAGAGTGTTTTGTCCGCGAAACACGTGAGAATTATTTCCGCAACATCTCCGAATGGTATCCGTGAGAAGATGCGTTCTATTCTGTTTGTAATGGCATCTGTAACAACCCTGTTTATGTGCCGTGTCGGGAAGGTGCGTTGTATGTCAGGCTAGAGCTGTGCCATACCGACTCCGTTTATTGTGCGGAATCAGAGTTTACTTTGTTCGCTCTGGGGTACATTGGTGGTGGTCCGAGTGCATTCCGAATCGCATCCGCGAAGCGTTCGAGTTATACTTTGCTTTGTTCGCTCGGGGGTGCATTCCTGGCGGTCCGAGTGGACTCCGAATCGCGTCCGCGAATCGTTCGGATAAGACTGTCCTATGTATGAAAGGAGAAGTGTTCGCGCTAACCCGATTCGGAGTTCATTGTTGTAAGCCAGACTATGAGTGCGCAGCCGTGTCTGCTTCTTCTTTCGTCTCCAACAACAACGCCAGCGACCACTCCTCTGAGAATGTAAGTGACCCCTTCTCGTGGATTGTCCGATGGTACACTAATGAATTGGATAGGATACTTCCATCCACAACAATGAGTAGGTGATGGGAGCGCGTTGGCGCAGGGGTGATAACGTGTGCTGGGCTGACGGGATTCTGCGCAGAATTCCAACCCTTTTTTTTTTTTCAATGCTGATTCCGACTCCCGCGGGAGCTTTGTCGGGCGCGTTCCGTGTCCTTTGCCTGCACTGCCTTCGGGCCAAAGCTCGTGGTGTCAAGGACCACGATTGTGTCTGGTCCCCCGCCTCATCCAAGTGCGAGTACTGCACGGCGCAGCACTCCACTTGCGTTCCGGTGAGTTCCCTTGTGCTGTTCTGTCTCTGTTGGCTTTTGCTAACAATTTGCATAGCTTCCCTGGTTCCTCGACGAGGAATACCGTGTCCTTGTGTCATACTGACATTCGTTGCACTCAGTTTGCTATCAAACTCAAGAGCAAACTTAGAAATCTCCTCCTCAAACCTACAAGTCACCATACATATCTTGGCTTATCACACCAACAACAGAAGCAATACTACTCAACGATTGCTGCAAACTCTTCTACTGCATCTGTTTATGCTACATACATCACGGCATATCATTTGAACACTCATTGAACAAGTTATTAAGAAAATCTCCTCCTTAAGGGGGTGGGCCAATACTACCACATGGCATATCTCTACCAACTAGAGGCCTAGGAACATGAACGATAGCTCTAGAAGCTTCTACAACCCTCTATGATTCATTACACGTCATCGCTCCTTAGTTACCCACAAGATTGGTTAAGTTATGACATAATTTATCTATAGGTACTCTGACCTTGGACCTCCTATAGGCTAGGAACCCAAGAGATGGTTCTATGGGATTCTCTTACGTTCACTACATGATTAGCAAGCTAGTTGTGGGTCGCACTTGATTTCTAATACATTTACCAAGCCTGGTTAGTCATGGAAAGTCATGGAAAATGAGAGAACTACACTCCTTTGGCATAAATAGGATTGCCCTTTCCTTAAGAAAGGGCAAGCAGGCAATACAGTAAATCGACTATCACATACTTCCCCGTCTTTTACAAGCTTCCAAGCATTCATCTTGTTACTCCTTGTTTCTGAAAAGTCAGTGAGGTGTTAACCTCTGACTTACCCCTGAGTTCCCAGACTCAACATTTGTTGCAACTTGTCTGAACAACTTCACTACATCACACACCTGATTTCTGCGTTGTGGAATAGTCTAAGCTACAACCCTTTGGCTCTGTTTCCTAAGACAGTGTGTTGTCTTAGTAAAATCATCCCTTCCTTGGGTGGCTAGATTCTCACATCTGGTGCACCCACCATTACACCTTGCTGCCGCCGAAGCAGCAGATCCCTGGGATCCCGCCGCCGTCGAAGCCGCTGCCACAGAGGCAAACCAGGTGGCCCTTGTGGCCGCCCAAAGCGTTCCAAAGTTCCGCTCGGCCGCCGAGCGCGACTCCTACGAGGAGCTCCGCGCAACGCGCGCCGCCCTCGAGGCGGGTCTGGCCATAAGTATCCCCCTGTCCTGTGTGGTTTCGGTGCTGATTCGGTTTAGCAAATCCGGTCGTCACTGCGCCGTCTTCGGACGGAGCAGGGGAGCGTGCCGGCTCTTTTGGGGGAAGTGGTGGC